AAGTCACAGCCAGTGTCGTGGCTGGAAGATTCCAGCATGTCTGGGTCTCCTACTTTTCCTACAAGCCTGGCCATCTAGTGTCCGTCGCCCGGGAGCTCCTGGGAGTTAGAGGGGCAACTCCTGAGGTCCAAAAGCCAGAAGCCAGGCGGGCCATTTGTTTAAACCAATCCCCGTGGCTGAGGAGGGGCAGGTTGAGTCCAGTGGGCTCAGCTGCACAGTGGGTCTAGAGTCTGAAGGTCATGGCCGGGAAGTGATTCTTCCTTTTTTATTTATACCTTTTCATTCTCATCCTTTGTTTTTGGAAAGATGGGACTGTCCTCACAGTCCGGAATAACCTCCCAGGCTTTCTCTCCCTCCCACATCTACACCCATGTACTTCATTGTCACTACACAAAGATTTCTGTCAGGGCTTGAGAGAGAAATGAGAGTGTGAGAAGGAGAAAGTCTTGCAGCAATGCTTTGTGGGTGTGATTGCTTTTCTCTTTCCTACTTTAATATTAATTTGGGTTTTCTTTTTTTTTGGTTATTGTTTTTGGGACAAGGTCTCACTATGTAGCTCAGGCTAACGTGAAACTCACTATCCTCCTGCCTCAGCCTTCTGAGGGCTGGAATTACAAGCATCAGTCACCATGCCTGGCTAATCTTACATCTTCGAATACAAGAAGTAACTAATGATGTACACAGCACTTAGGTGAGATTACCTACACTGTTCAATTTAATTCGTCAGGGGGATGTGGTGTACTTTTAGTTAACAGACACATGTTCTTTGAAGAAACTGGTCTGTCTCATACAGCAAGGAGAGATTGTACTTTGTTCCTAAAAGGAAGCTCTTAGGAAAATGAACCCTTCGTGTCCCAGCTGTGCGTGTCCTGGCCCCTCTCCCTGCAGCACTGCAGCATTTCTGTCACAGTGTCAACCTCATGGCAAGGACAGAGCTCCCAGTGGAGTCTTGTCACGGAGTTTTTCCATGATCCCATGACACAGAGTGAAGCCTGCCCCCACCCCTTTCCCAGCAGTATTGCATTTCAGAAATGGTCCTACAGATGCTTGATGGTGGCTGGGCTCAAGGAATTGGACTTGTGGAAGTTTTGGCTCAGTGCCATGGTCACCCATGGGCTGTTACCCTCCATCCCAAATCACTTTCCTACCGTGGAGCGCCTGGTGAGCTCTGGCTCCAAATGCAAGCACGTTTTATTCCTTGGCTGTGTGCAGCCTTACTTGGAAATTGACATCTTAAGGTACTAGATGACAGAAGGACACAGCTGACTGAGGATCATTTCCAGGCTGCTTCTTCAGCCCGGAGCACAAGCGTTAACCAGGCTCTAATGGTGCCCAAAGGTCTGAGCCTGGGATCGCATTGTGCCCGGGGTTTTACTCCAGGATAGTTTCTAAGATGTGCACCCGGAGTCCCTCTGCATGCCACGTGTCATACCATGCTGTTGGCTGGTTCCTCGTCCACTCACCAGTTTTTAATGCCTAACACTGACTGAATAAGTCAGTACCTTGTCTTTGAAGAACGACTGGTAGAGGGAGGGGATGAACTGCACGTCTCTCTAATCAGCACCGTTCATTTTATGTGTTCTGCTTTCTTTGAATGGACCCAGCTCACGGAGATCCTTACATCCCTCAGTTGGTCCATGTGTGTAATTTCCAACCCTAGGCTCTGCTGACATTTTGGCATGTGCTGTGGTCCCATGTGAAGACCCCATGATCCTATTACTTTAAGTGAAAAGTCAATTAAAATTTGATTTATGCATACGGATGCCATGTTTTTTCTAGGTGGGTGTTTGTGTTCACCTCAGTTTATTGTTGATCGTAATTATCCCCAGATTTTAAAACTTGGTACTATTTCAACTTCAGCTCTCCTGGTGCTTTACTTCTGTCTGATTTTCTGAATCGAATGTGAAGGGAGCTGTATTTTAAGCTTTTGATTTCCTGAATCATAAACTTGTTTCCGTAAAGCATTGTGAGAGAAGGGAAGTAATTGGGCTTTATAAAAGAAGCTTTTCTTTCCACATCTTAGGGTTATTTATGTGCTTGCTTTACATAATGTAATAAGCAAACATTTTAAATTGCTCCCTGCATGCAAGTCTATTTCATGCCTAATTTAGAATGGCTAATTTCAGTCCCAAGGTTATTCTCCATGCTGTATCTTTCATCTTTATGAACAAAGGCACGTTGTTCTTCCTCCTCACATTCTGAATTTTGCCATTTGAGGACACAGCAATAAAATCTTCTGTTGTTGGTATATAAACCATATGTATATTTCAAAAGATTTAATTTAATCTTTAAAGTTTACATTTAGTTAAGTGACTTTGGGGAGTTGGAGGTTTGTGAGTTTCATTTTTTTTATTGGTACATATTTGCACGTACATACGGGGTATGGTATGAAAATTCAATGCATGTATACTGCATGTGATGATCAGGTAAGATCAGGGTAATTAGCTTCTCTGTCACTTCTGCCATCTGTCATCTCTGTTGTGAACCTAAACATTCTCTTTTTGACAAATGCAAGACATTGCACCAATGTTCCAGAATGAAGTCACAAATCATGATGGCATTAATCTTTTTGTGTAACGTTTTATGAGCTTCTCTTTTCTGCCCGTGTGTGTGTGTGTGTTCATTGCTCTAAGTGAACCCAGGGCCTCACACATGCCAGACAAGCACTCTACCACTGAGCTGCACCCCAACTCTCTGCCCTCTAATTTGATTGTCATTGCTGTGATAAGCAGTGGTTATGGTATTCAGTGTTGCCTGGCATGAATTTTGTGGCCACCATCCTTGCGACCTTGCTTTTAGCTACTACATTGTGGGAGCTGGATGACTGGGGTCTTCTTTCTCCCTGACTTCATGTGCATTCAGTCTTGAGCTGCAGCATAAGGGTGGTCACCATTGGAGTGTTGCCAGTTGCAGCTGCAAAGCCTGGCTTGGGAACTCCTGGCATCAATGGCCTTTGCACAGCATGTCCAGCTCTCTGCTCTTCCTCTGTCCCCAGTGGAAATCTGTTGGAAGTTGGGTGGGGTCATTGAGCTCCCATGCAGCCAACTGATTGTATAGCTGCTTCAGTGCTCATCCTGTCTGTCTGCTCTGCTGCAGTTCCCATGATAACCTTGGAACAGGGTATGGGTATTAGATCATTGATGTGCAGTTTTTTTGCCTGGAAAAAAGGTTAGGAAGGTTAAAAGAAAAGTGTGGGGATGGCAAGCACCATGTCGAGGGAGAAGTCGTTTCCTTCTTTGCTACTTCATTTCAAAACTCCTGGGGATGTGGTTGCTTAAGCAAACTGGTGACATTTGGGAAAGAATGTGCCCTTGTGGTGAAAGTAGGTCTGGGAATTCAGATTCCTGTCTTCTGTTCCCAGGAGCAGGAAGGGTCATGAGTGACAAGTGACTAGTCAGTTCAGCATGGGGATCAAACTTTCCCCATCTGTGAAATGGACATAAAAGGGTTCATGCCTCACTGACATCAATGTCAGCCAGGAATTGTTTAAGATTCTGCTGGGAACTAGCTTGCTCCAGTGACCTAGAAAAGGAAGGGACCAGGGATAGGCTGACCTCATTTCTATTTCAGCCTCAGAGCTGAGTCAGTGAGAAACTGGTAGCGATCAGTTCATCTGGCTCTGGTCCCCTGGTGCATTCTGTGATTAAAATGAGGATTATAAAATCTTATCTCCACTGGTCTCCTGGCCATTCAGCCAATATTAATTAAGTACTAAAAATACTCCACCAAAATGCTCTAGAAAGCTTCTGCAGTGTGAGCCTTTCCCTTTCTTCCCAAGCTCACATCAGGTCATTTGAGGACATACAAGTCAATCTTTTTATTTATTTATTCATTCATTTATTTATTCAGACAGCTGTTTGTAGCCCAGCTCTATTCTATTTTGAGTAGGACTTCCTTCTATCTAAAAACTGGATGTCCCAGTTTGGTGGCAAAAGTACTTTGGAAACAAGCAAATCATCCAAGTTCACCTTCCATCTGTTGATCACCATTGAAGCCTTGGGATCATGTGCTGAGATCCACACGGTGCCTCTGCCTGTCGGCACCTCTGAAGGGGGCATAATAAGAGAGATGTGACCAATGGGCTGGTCACAAGATCTCAGTGTGTTGTCTTAATAGCAAGGCTGTTCCAGTTTGAGCGAAATTATAATCAATTCAGTGAAAAGCCTCTACTGTTTATTATTTTATTTACCTAACAAAGTATTTGTGTTTTTATCTATCTCTACCTTTAGCATGTTTTCAGGTAGTATATATGAATATTTTCTGCCTTCAAAAGCTTAAAATCAAGCAAAGAATAGCACCTGAAATAAGGCTCAGCCAGCCTCAGACACTCACTGGAGATTCATGCAGTGTTGGGTAGTGCTTGGAAAGGCTGGTGAATTCGTCAGGAATCTCTGGAGAAATGGAGCTAGTAGGATGGATGATGGATGGATGGGTGGATGGTTGGGTGTTTGAACAGATAGATGATGGATGGAAGGATGGATGGGTGGTTGAATAGATGGATGGATGGATGGGTAAATGGATGGATAAGTAGGGGTTCCACCATCTCTCATCTGCAAGCTGGAGACCTAGAGAAGCCAGTGGTGTAGCTCAGTCCAAGCTGAAGGCCTGAGAGCATGAAGGCACTAGTATGAGTCCCTTAGTCCAAAGGCTGGGGACCTGAAGTTGTGATGTCAAGGACAGGAGAAGATGGACATCAGCTCCAGAAGAGAGACAGAATTCACCTTTCCTCCACCTTTTTGTGCCGTCCAGGCCCTCCACAGATGAAAAGGCACCCCACATTGCATGACTGCAGATGCAGTCCACTCACTTAGTCCACTGACCCAGATGCCCTTTTCTTCCAGAAACACCTCTCAAACATGCCATAAGTGACACTTTTCCAGCCCTCTAGTATTCTCTACACAGTCAGGTTGGCTCCTAAAATTTCCAGTCACAGTTGACTGATCCCTTTTGTCCACTTTTTTCCCCCTGCAATTTGTCTGACCTATGTGCCTTTCCTGCAGGGAGAAAGAGGCCTCCCAGGGTTACAAGGTGTCATTGGGTTTCCTGGAATGCAAGGACCTGAGGGACCACATGGACCACCAGGACAAAAGGTGAGCTTTACTGTGATAAGGGGAGGGTCAGATTTCAGATAGTTTCATTCTTTTGATAATGAACCATACTGATGGCATCTCTGTTCTGTTCCAGGGTGATACTGGAGAGCCAGGACTTCCTGGCACGAAAGGGACGAGAGTGAGTACCATGGTTGCTTATGGTTGATGACACATTCCAGAGTGGGGCACATCTCTTGTCACCTTCCCTCTTCTCCTCTCTGTACTGTTCTCAGCCACTCCTCTTCAGAGCTCAGACAGCACACACAGTGGGCTTGTTTTAAACCTGCTTTCTCTCATTTGTTCTTCTTCAAGGGTTCCCTCATAGATATTTTAATTTGGGAGGGGGCGGGTAGTGGTGTGTCCTCACATCATCAGAGCAAGAGGACTTCCTTCCTTTATTTAGTGTTTTCCAACTAAACTTACTCTTCCTTCTTCATAATTCTGTTTATCTTCCTTGCTACCCCCATTTCCGGAGGGTGCAAAAAACTCGATCTGTGTAACAAAAGGTTGAGGGTAGAAAAATAGGAAGACATTGTGAGATGTCCGGCTGTTACATAGTTAAAAGGGAATTGGGACCAGCCTGCATGGGTACTTGATGGCACTTCTGTGGGCTCTTGGGGCAGAGTGAGGAACCAGCATTGTCACTCTTGGTAGAGTCAATGACACTGGACTCTTGAGTAGAGAAGATCAGGACTCCAGATAGAAATAACCTTTATCCCATATTCTCTTCGTCCCAAATGTTTGCAAATTTAATGTGAATTCTGTATTATTTTTAGCCTAGATATTGCAAAAAAGGGAATGAGGACAGAGTTATTTGGTCCATGCATGGCCTTGATTTTAGAAGCAATAGTCAGCTTTTGATGCGGATCCCTTCAATGCTCTCTGCTCAGTGCGCTTGTCCTCAGCTCCAAAGATGAGAGCGCAGCTCCATTAACCAGGAGGATGTGAGGAAGGAAATGAGGTTCCCAGCTCAATTGAAAGGCTTTCATTTCCATCCCTACAGGGACCCCCAGGAGCATCTGGTTACCCTGGAAACCCAGGACTTCCTGTATGTATGAAAAAGGCACTCTGTGTTTCAAGAATTATTTTACCAGCCAGTGAGTTGCTATTTTGCTTACTTCTTATCTTGATTTATTGCAGGGAATTCCTGGCCAAGATGGTCCACCAGGTCCCCCAGGTATCCCAGGATGCAATGGTACAAAGGTAAGTTTAGAACTGAGACCCCCCGACCCTCCCCATGGCATGTCTATGTAAGTTCATACAGCAGGAAGTCAGGTGAAGTTACTCTGTTTTATTTGCTCCAATTGGAAATATATTTATCATAAAGTTTTATTTGATAAGGAAATATAGTTTCTCCACATTTAATATTCAGAAAAGATATAATCACGCCTTTTTGGGAGACTTGTATCTTAAAATTGCTCCTTAGCATTAAATTATTACCTACAGCCAATTTCAAAAGTGAATCAGAGAATGCTGTATGAATCCTTGTCCCTGATATTATCAAGTGTATTTTTTATTTCATGAAGCTGCACCCAGTGATGCAGTTTGTAACAAATGGTGCTAATGAAAGGATGTTAGCCACAAGTGCAGTTTCTGTGAAAGGTGGCCAGTGTTGGGGGGACGTGGGAGACCTGCACTTGCTTCTCACAGGTGTGTGAGTGACTCTCTGCTTTTCTCTCAGGGAGAGAGAGGGCCGCTCGGGCCTCCCGGCTTGCCTGGATTCAATGGGAATCCTGTGAGTATACAATCCTTGGAGTCAGAATTACTTTGTTTGGTGATAATTTCTATCTTCTCATTTCTTGTGTTCTTATATATTAATATATTGGCAAAAATAAAACTAACATCCAAACTCTCTTTTCTAGGGACCACCAGGGTTACCAGGAATGAAGGTATATTTTATTTTTACTGGATTCATTGCAGGGATTCAATTGAAAACAAATGCCATAAAAATAAATTTAGTTTAAATTACTTCAGCTTACCCACTGTCTTAGCATATTTTCTAAATTATGTCACCTTAAAAGAATATATGAATAATCCACACAAGCTTGAATTTTAGGCCCGCAGAACAGTTTCCTGATGGGCATTCAGTGGGGCAGAGAAGCACGGTGTGCATTCATTCCCTGTTCATAGATGTGGTCCTGGCCCAGGTCACCCTCGGGCATGGACAAGCTCACAGACCTTCCTCCAGGGCCATGTCACTATGACTCAAATTTATGTCCTCTTTAATCTCAGTAGCTTCATTTACATTTCTGCATAGAAAATGGAGAAAATGATTGTTTCTTTTACTTTCTTTCTCTCCCTCTTTTCATTTGTCTTCTCTCCCTTTTCTCCCCATCTCTCTCTCTCTCTTCCATCATAGAGCCCTGCCGTTTTCATACCCAGAGTTTGTCAGCACCGCCTGGCTCAGTAGCCAGCAGGTCCTTCCAGGACCTGAGTAGACACAGGAGTCCACTGTCACCCATCCATGGCTGGGGTGGGCAGGCAGCAGAGCAGAACTCCTGGGAGCCTCTCACCTGTCATAGAAATCAGAATTCCCCAGGCAGGTGCTGCTGTCTCAAGCTCAGCCGCTTGTGCCAGCCTGATCTGCTTCTTCTGAGGACTTCAGGAAAGTCTTGACTCTTTTCCCAGCAGCAATCCTTATTTTGTGCGGCTTGTGCCCAGGTCCCAATTCCAGTCCTATAGCCATCTCTGTCTCCAGTTTTGCATGCTGGTCACTAGAGTGTAGAGATGAAGGGGCAGGTGACCATTCTGTTTATTTTCCATTTAGGGTCTTAATCCTACCTTGGACCAGTGCATCCTAGTGAAGCATTTCTGTATTGAATAGTTTATGTTTCTTTGTATGACTGTCAACATTTACAGTTCTTTTCTTCTTTTTACTTCAGGGAGACCCAGGTGAAATACTTGGCCATGTGCCTGGAATGCTGTTGAAAGGGGAGAGAGGATTTCCTGGACCCCCAGGGACACCAGTAAGCATTTGCTGAGTTATCATAAACCCATGCTGAGTCACCTCCTGGCTGGATTTTAATCCTTTTCCTTCCCTGTCAATGATAGGGTTCGCCAGGATTGCCAGGGCTTCAGGGACCCGTTGGCCCTCCAGGATTTACCGGACCACCAGTAAGTTTTGGGGAGCCCCTCTGAGGCGCTACAGGTGTGTAGGGGGTGGGATGAGTAGGAGCTTGGTGAAGACTGCCCTGTGGCATCCTTCGAACTTCAGCTCCAGCAGTATCAGCTTCTTTCTCATGAACTGGTGTGGCTGGCTCCTGGGGCCCATGATTCCCAGAGCTATGGGAAGCAGATGCTCAGAGCATCCTCAGACAGGCCACCTGTTAGTGTGGCAGGGCTGCTGGGTACCATCGAGTCCCATGGACTGGACTCAGGAAGACAGGCTGGCGATGACCAGGGTGACTTTTCATGGTGGAGGTGGAGTCACTGCAGAGGGCAGGGTGCGCGGGGAACATGGACAAAGTGAGTTCAGACTTTCTACCCATGAGCACCAAAAGTGGCTTCAGGAGGCTGCTTTCCCCTGGTCTCCTGTGCAGCTGAAGGAAGGCAGCTCTCCCCCCTCCCACTTCTGGAATTCCTTATTCACCAAGTAAATTCACTTGCATTCTTACATTTTTTTTTCTTTCACCTTTTTGGGTAACATCCAGAAATTCTTATTGTAACCATGCATGTAAATGGAATATCTTTCATATTCTTTTAAGTTGGTGGACTCATTTTTATGGGTGAAGAATGGCTAGGTTTTCCTTTTTAAACAATTTTGAAATTTTGTTGCAAACAGGGGAAGCTTAAATTTCACTCTCACTCCTCCCTTGGAGAATTAGCAGTTTTCAAAGATAAATTTCTATCTAAAGTAGACAGACATCATCCCAGATGGGAACCTCTGGGTCTTGGAGACCTTAACTGGTGGGTTCCTGAATGGTCCCAACAGCTCGTCCTGCACCTCTTACTTGGTCATCAGCATGCATGGGGAATGCCTGAGGTTTTGAGGTATTTCCTCCCAGTCAGAAGTTGTCCTGACCCATTCCTGGTTATTGTCAAGTTCTACAGCACAGGAAAGATATTCAGCAAATTATCATGTTGACCACAGACTCCTAGGATAACTTCACTCAAAGAAGGGTTTAAAGCTGACTAGGGTTGTGTGTTAGTCAGTTTTCCACTCAAAGAAGGGTTTAAAGCTGACTAGGGTTGTGTGTTAGTCAGTTTTCCTGTTGCTGTGACAAAGTACCTGAGATAAACAACTTAAAAGAAGGAAAGATTGCAGAGGTTTGGATGCAAAGTCACTTGGCTTCATTGTTTCTGTGAGGAAGGACCTTACGGCTAGGAACATGTGGCAGAGCAGAACTGTTACCTCATGGTAGCCAGGAAGCAGAGACAGGAAGAAAGGAAGTTTCTGGAGACAAGGTTTAACCTTCAAAGACAGAAACCCAGTGACTCACTTCCTCCAACCAGTCCCACATCCTATGGTCCATTGGCTATGAATGAACTCCGCAGTGGACTAATCCATTCTAAGGTCAGCACATTCAGGATCCAGCCATATTTCAATAGTGCCACCAACTGGGCTATAGGGATATTTTATATCCATACCATAAGAGGTTATGGATCATATTTAATTGAAATGCTCTCTCTTACAGGGCCCTCCAGGTCCTCCTGGCCCTCCAGGTGAAAAGGTAAAGATATTTTTTCATTTGTTGTCCTTTGGCCTTAGTATAGGACTATCAGAAAAGTGCCATGACTCATTCTTTAAGTAACTGTAGCTGTAGGGTTTTGGAAAATGGATAAACATTTTTCTGTTTAACCATCTATGTCTATCATCTATTCAGCTACCTAGCATGTATTACCTGTTTATCTAGCTGTATCACCATCTGTCAATCGTCTTTTGTTTACCTGTCAGCTGTCTTCACATCTGTCACTCACCTCTCAGTGCCGCCCTCCTAACTTCTGCTATTTCCCAGTCATTTACTTTGAAGTCAGTAATCACACCCCTATTTTTCCAAAGCCAGAGTATAAAAACCTTAAATTTAAGAAAAGTTATTTGTATAGAGTTCTTTCTCAATAATGTTTTTTAAACCTTTTTTTCTGACCTTGAATACGGCCAGATCTTTCCTGAAAAGCTTAGGATGGTTTTGAGACAAAGTTATTGCTTGAGCCCTCCCATCTATGGCATCTTATGTGAGGCTTGTGTGATGTCTGAACAAAGTGTGAACCTAATAATAAATCCCAATTTCTGATCAACAGGGGCAAATGGGCTCAAGTTTTCAAGGACCAAAAGGCGACAAGGTGAGTGTGCGGCACTTTGCAGTGTTGCTGTGTTCAAATCTCAGCTGCAGGCCTGGCAGGATTCCCGCCTCTTACCAGCTTTGGAACCTTACGCGCATCGCTCCTCTTCTCTGCACTGATAGGACTTTGCTTAGATTTGTAGAATCACCGAATTGACTCCAGCTTATGGGATACGCCAGGCCTCTCACAGTGCTGTGTGTGATCTGACAGGCTTAATTCCCACTTTCTGTGCACAGATTCCAAAGTGTTCATCATCAGTGATGAAGCTAGACAAAATTCATTAAAGGGTTTAATCCTGCCCTGATGAAGGTCATCGCGAGATGCAGTTGGCTCCTTCTCGGGCCAAGTGGGCACCGAGAAAGTGTGCCCTGGAGGAAGGAGGGCTCAGGACAGAGCAGGCTTCTATCTCTTGGGAAAGGGGAGCAAATGGTGGGTCCCCGATCTTCTGTTGTCCTCTCCAGTGGTGTGATGGGTACTAGCTGAGGACCATCCTTCATTGTGCAGCTGGCCTGCCCTGTGGAAGTGCAAGCTGGTGTGGATGACCACCACCAGGGAGCGTCAGATGAAGCCTGGGCCTGGACACTATTTTTCACTTTCCTTTTTGTGACCCATTCATTTCAAACACCTGACAACGTGATTCTGAAATTTATATTGCTGAAATCTTTGGACATCACTGAAATCTTTGTCTATAACTTGCTTTCACTTTACTTCCAAGGGTACTCAGATGTTAGGCTGCCTGAGCAAAAGATTTCTATGGTTCTGTTATTTTTGGTTTACCTAAAAATGCCTGCTTATTTTGCCAAGCTCTGAGGCTGCCTTTATGACTTCCCTGTATGTCTGCTAGTTGCAGCAGTGCCCCTGTACACAGGTGCATGCATAGATGGGTCCTGCAGGTGTCCAGGTTCTAAACCCAGGGAGTGCAGGTCTCCTGTTGAGTGGGAAGAGTGGCATCTTCCCACTGGCACCCTCTTCAGCTGAGGCTAGGACATTCTACACACGGTTGTTTCCTTTTAGGCTGTTACCCACACTCTTGGATTTTATTACCTCCAATTTTTACACAAACAGGGTGATCAAGGCGTCAGTGGACCTCCGGGAGTCCCAGGACAGGCGCAAGTTAAAGAAAAAGGGGACTTTGCCCCAACAGGAGAAAAGGTACGCCTGGTATGCCCCTGAGACAGGCTTTCTAATTTTAGACAGATTGTGAGGGACAAAGAAAAACTGGGTTGAAATTCAGTTTCTCCAACCACATTTAATCCTGACTTAGAAAGCAGGTTTATAGATGACCCCCTCTGGCCCTGGGTTGGCCAGGGACTGGTTTGTACTGACCTACGGAAGGGCTTCTTGTTGCTCTGCATTGGGTATGGGCAGTGGGGGCACAGGGATCCAGCTGAGGGGCAGCAGGTGGCCACAATCACCAGCTGTGGTCAACTCTGCCCCTCTTAGACCACAACCCTGGCAATGCTAGGAGAGGCATAGTGGAGACCAGGGTGCGTCAATTTGTTAACATGTCAGAAAAAGGATTTTATTCCTTTTTCCGCACATTCAGTGTGGCATATAAAAAACCAATACAGCCATTACAAAAACCAAGACATCAGCCATTACTGATCCTTCTCTCCCTCTCTTTTAGGGTCAAAAAGGTGAACCTGGATTTCAGGTAGGCACTCAATTCTTCTCTGTCATTATTATTTTTATGTGAAAGACCATAACGGATCAGATTTAGGATACAAGCTTATTTCCCATCAAACTTAGTGTACATTTAATTTAATATTTTCTTGTATCTTTTGATGAATCTAACTCCTTCTGTCTTCGTTCTTTTCAGGGCATACCAGGGTTTGGAGAAAAAGGAGAACCTGGAAAGCCAGGGCCTCGGGTAGGTACTCACCAAATCCTTCACTCTTCACTGTAAAGTCATTCTCCTCCATCCCCAGAGTCACAGAGACAAAGGATCGAAAAGCCTTGTAGGGCCATCTAGTTTATTCTTCCTCTGGGGAGGCTGGGCCCATCCTACTTGAGGAGCCCACTGAGAGCGAGCACTGCTGGGAGAGGGGTTCAGGAAGAGCACCCATCCTGGGGTCCTCTGTGGACACTTGTCCCATGTGGCTGGAGTGGGTGCTTGTGTCCCTTGGACTCTGGTTCTGTCCCCAGCTCTGACACCTGGCTGTGTGTAAGGGGCCAGGGCCTTGGCGGGCTCAAATGCTTCTCTGTTCATGGACAGTGGTTCATGGTTCAGGACACCTGCCCAGCTGCCAGTCACTTGGGATGTTTCTGGTTTGAAGTCGTGTGGAGTGCTCCACTGAAGGAGCCCATGTATGTCACCTTCCAGTGCTCTCTAGCTGGGGGAAAAGATCCCTGGTGTCAGTCTTGCTGCCATCAGGTGCAGTTCTTAGGTTGTAGCCAGTCAGACTCTGTGCCCCAGAAACCAAGTGTCCTCCCAGTTGATGGGTCATCTGCCGAGTTTCTGTCACTATGGAACCATGAGCTCAAAGGGAACCCTTACTGCATTGTGTGTGGTGTCACAAAGAGAGGACCTGCTAACTTGCTCCGAGCCAGAGTTTGGCCTGTGTCACAGTCATTGTTATTACTTGTGTCATGCTAACACTCACCTCTTTATTGCACAGGGAAAACCTGGAAAGGACGGGGAGAAAGGAGAGAAGGGGAGTCCGGTAAGTATCCCTCTGCAGTTCCTGAAAGCCCAGGAACTTTTTGCCCCCGTCCAAAAAGCTGACAACTCTGTCATTTTAGGGTTTTCCTGGCGATTCGGGGTACCCAGGACTCCCAGGCCGTCAGGGCCCTCAGGTACGTGGTGGTGCTGGGTTGTTTTTTTTTTCTCTCTCTTTTAATCATGATGCTAAGTATCGTGATTTTTGAAATGTTCCCCAGTTAACCATGGGTGAAAGATGGGGGCGAGTCCCTGCAGGGTTATTTATGGAAGTCAGGGACAGGAGGGGTAATGGTTTCTCTGCAGTGTGTTGAGAAAGCAAAACCCCATGTATTTTGTGTTGAACAAGCAAATACAATACAGTACTAAGTGTTTGTTTGGTGTTGGGTCTTGCACACTGAGAACGCTCCCAGCCCAGTAGCTAAGGTGTCCTTTAAGCGCAAAAGCTATTTTCAAAATCTCTTCTGGTATTCATGTCAGAAAACTCAACATACTCAATCGTAGCATAAGGCCAAGTTTAACATCTTAGTTCAAAAGGGGAAACAAAGTGCATTCGTGGCACCACTGAGGACTTTCTCACTTATCGTTACTGTTTTCCTAGGGTGAAATTTTTCATTTGTTCTTGGATGTAAAGAATTTTGAGAATCTGCCACAGACCCACCTTTCTAACCCATCTCTCTTTTTTAAAAAGATTTTTATAAGCACACATTAATAGTGCAAGGGGTGTTATTGTGATAGTTCCATAGACGTGTACGGTGTGCTTTGGACAAGTTCACCCCTCTGCTATATCCTCTAAGTTATTATTATGTTGTTTGCATGAGAACTTAGACATAAAAGGATATTGTTTTTGGTTTTTCATTTAATGTGAATTAAATTAAGCCTCAAAAAGTATCAAAATTCACCCACCAATGTTTTCAATACTGGATTTTATATTATGACTTTCAATATAAAACTAGATAATTTTGCACGTAAAGAAACCTCATTGCAAATGATCCAAAGAAATATATCTAGAAATGATGTTTTCACATCATCTTATTGATGAACCAAGTCAGTCACCTGCTTTTAAAAGATTCTGTCACCGTTCTCTGAGGGAGGGAGCGAGCTACTGACAGGGGAGACGTGGAGAGCACTTCAGTCACTTGAAGTTAGCCTCCCTCTCGGGTTTATAGAAATCTTTATCCTCACATGAGGAAATGACATGGGCTATTTCCTTGTGACAGTTACAGAGCAGGCGAGGAGAGATAGGAAGGAGAGGAGGGTATTTCTGCCCACTGTCCAATTTACCTGAAAAAGAAGCTTAGCCCTGTTTTTTGCGTGGTGAAAAGCACAGGCAAGTGACATTAGTTTTTCTTTGTAGGGAGAGAAAGGTGAAGCTGGACTTCCGGGCCCCCCTGGAATTGTGAGTAAAAGTGCTCTGTGTTGATCTGTGCATGTGGTTGTGATGAGCCTGACGTCACACAGGATGTGCTCTGCAACTGTCCCTAGCACGGGTTTTTATGTGGAGTGGGTGCCCGTCAAGTGAAATAATACCGTAATTCTTCCTGTGCTGTTATTATGATATCTTGGTGATTTCTGCATACCCTTAAGCCTCTGGAAATGAAGAGGTTTGCACATGGTCCTAGCAAAACAACTTTTATTTTGCAAATAGCACTCACTTTGTCTGCGTGCGTAATTCGAATACTTACAGTCGGTGTGCGTAGCACAGTCTGAAACTGGACGTTCTTCAGGTCTGCGAGGACCACCTTCTGCAGCGCTGGGCTGGGGTCATTTTGGCTAGTTTGCTCCAAATCTTTCTCGAAATCCTGAAATCATGGCCGTCCTCGCTCATGTGGTGCCCGGGTCTGCCAGTGTGGGGGGTGTGAGTGACATGTCCTCAGCTTGCGTTTCCGGGAAGAAGGTTATCAGACCACAGTGTCGAATCTTCCTGATGTCTTGCTGCTTCTTCACGTCTCTACTGCATGTCCACACCTGCAGTCCAGCTAAGTGCAGAGACCTCTGCTTTCACCTTCATCCCACCGACACATCTTGTGTATTTATTTTTCTTGGAAGTTTGTTACCTTGTTCATTTTTTAATTGACAAGTAACATTCTGCATGTATTTGTGGTGCACAATGTAAATGTACATATCATGGAATGACTGCATCTCATGATTGGATAGTATTTTTAATAGCGTGCATTAATTAATTTAATTGCTACGAGGAAATTATACTGTGAAGGCAGTGTGCGGTATTCGACTGCCATTTTTCTCAAATTTTGGTGATTCAGAATGAAGGTGGGCAAGTTTTCTCCTTTTTAGTAAGGCTGGCAATGCCTTTTACTTGGCCTGTATTGCTGTGATTTGAAGGAAGTGTCCACTTTTGATTGTTTTAAAAACGGAGCGCATGAAACCCCTTCCAATGAAAAGAGTGAGCCTCCCTGACGGGGTCCTGGGGAGTAAGCCCCTACTCCACCCCCCACACTTGCGAACGGGTGTTGCTCCAAGTTCACATCTCAAGCGTGACCGAGACTGTGGCCAAGGACATTTGGACCAAGGTGGCTGCCCTGCCATATTTCTCCAGTAATATGAAGTGTGTTCATTTCCTCACCCACACTGCTGTGCAATGCAAGACTAGCTGTCCCCAGGCCATGAGTGACCTTTTCTTCCCTAACACAGGTTATAGGCACAGGGCCTCTGGGAGAAAAAGGAGAACGAGGTTACCCAGGGACACCCGGGCTTAGAGGAGAGCCGGGCCCTAAAGGTAGGTGTCTTGCTTTTTCCCTCCCTCCTTCCGCCTTCCTCCTCCTTTTCCTCCTCCTTCTTCTCCTCCTCCTTTTCTCTCTCTCCTCCCTCCCTCTTTTTTTTTCTCCTCCTCTTCTTTGTCCCTCTCTCTCTACTTCTCTACCCCCCTACCCGACCCCTTTGTTAGTGTCTGCGGGCCATGCAGGACAGCTATCATGATGCCTGTCCTCTCTGGGTCCCTGTCTCAGTGTCACATGGGGTACCCCAGAGTTCTTCTCCTTTATCCTCCCGAGCATGGCGTCTCCACAGGAGATGCTTGGGTGGTACCAGTTCTGTCCTCTATGTCCACTGTGGCGTGGATACCTGTGAGCACCCAAGCTGGGCTCTGGCAGAGGAAGACAGAAGAAGAAAAGATCTATACGTGAGTGACCTCGTCTCATTTTGTCTAATTCCTTCTCTTTCAAGGTTACCCCGGAATACAAGGTCAACCTGGCCCTCCAGGTGAGCATCCTGCCTGACTGTTTTTGCACAGTATGTGAACACGTGCTCTGTGTTTGTGTCCTGCACATCAGTGGTGCACACTGCATATTTCATAAAATAGGTACTAATGTGATTACACATCTTCCTAGTTAGGAAAGCAAAACGTGCCCTCGATCCTGTTTACTGTGCGTTTTGTTAGTCTCAGATGAACGTGGTGTTCACAGATGAGCATGGCCTGGAAGGGACCCTTGTCTCCCTGGAGACCGTGACTTGCCCCCTAGCTTGGCTCTGATCCACCAGCCTTGCCACCCCTCCCTACATTCTTGGGAGGACGTCCTGCCCTTGTGAGGGTTCTGGCTCTAAGTGTCTCCTCTCCCGTCTCCTCCGTCTGGAACTTTTTTCACCTGGAGACCGACTGGGCTCCAGGAGACACACTGTCTTCCTTTTTCTGTGGAATGTGGCATTGCTCAGTGTGAGTTTGTTTCGTCTCTCTTTTTTTTTTTCTGTACTGGATTTGAACTCAGGGCCTTGCACTTGCTAGGCAGGTGCTCTGCCTCTGTCACTTGAGTCACTGCCAGTTTGCAGTTTCTTGATAGGTGTTTCATGCAAGCTGGTTTGTGTATCTCAGGGGATGGTCTCTTTTACACGTGTCCATGTCACAGCGTGTGTGTGTCCCAGCCATTGGTGACTGGCAACTGTGGAAACAAGGCTGGCCCTGGGGTTGACACTGGCTGAGACACACAGCCCTGAAGCCTTTTGCTTACTTTGGTTTTGAGTTTTTAATTTAGGACTTTTTTATCCTTTGTGTTTTTTAGCCCATTTTCCCCTTTCTGGCAGTTCTGAGTTCTCCCAGAGCCTACCTTTCCTTTGGGAACAGAAGAAGCCCCTAGCCCACCCTTGGCTCCAAACAGGACCTCCATCTCTCCCACTTCCCTTCTTTCTGTGAGAACTTTTTGGGTCTACCCTTGAAATTATCACCCGTCTGTCTTCCTCCTCTTGTGTTATTCTAGGGAGCGTGTCAATTCATGTCTTCTCTTAGCAGATTCTGGACTTGCTTTGTGTGCGTGTGTGGGGGGGGGACTGGGGATTGGACCCAGGGCCTCAGGCTTGCTTGGTTAGCACTCTGCCACTTGAGCCCCCGCCCCCATCCTTTTGCTTATAGTTCATTTTTCAAATAGGTAGAGTCTCTCACTTTTGCCCTGGCTAGATTTGCACAGTGATCTTTCTACCTTGGCCTCCTTTGTTTTTTAGGCAGAGCTGGGCCTTGAACTCAGGGCCTTATTCTTGCTAGGCAGGCGGTCTATCGCTTGAAACACACTACCAGCCCTACCTCTGCCTCCTGATTAGCTAGGATTATAGTCATGTGCTACCACCCCTGTCTTTGTGTTTACCTTGTTATGTCCATATAGTCATCTCTTGACTAGTCAGTTTGAAAAAACATTCATCAAAATTTTCCTGACTGGCAGTTTATTGTCCCAATGCTCCAAGCCATTGGGAAAGAGGATACACCCTCTTTTCCTCCTCACCTCCCTCAGTCGTCTTTGACACCTTGGCTTTCTGCACCCTCATGTTACCTGACATTTCCTTCTTGCACCCTGAGTTCCTGTTGGCTTGGTGTCTCAGTCCCTCTGCTTCCCCTGGTTGGGCACTGACCACTTGGCAAGGCCCACATGGCCTCTGGTTCTGTCAGCAGCCTTGCGGTGAGTCCTCCTGTCGTGGTTCAAGACTACTTCATCACCCCTGGCTTGCCCACCTGCTCTCAACTCGTGCTGCAACTTCTTGAGTATCCTTTCTGCACATTGGCTCCAGGTGTGGCTCTTTCCTCTCCAGGACAGCAGAGTCTTCTCTGTGTGGTCTCCTGAGCCCTGATCTCTCAAGATCTCTGTCTCCAGTCTTCTCAGCCATCACAGGACCATCTTGTCTGACCCCTTATCACCTACAGTGGCTGAGTTAGTTGGCTTTGCATACTTAGACCTAATTGCACTGTGACTTCAAACCCTTTCACAGCACTGGGTAGACTTACTCGTCCTTCACGTTACTCCTCTCCTATTCTCTCAGATTGCAATTCCCTTCCCTTCCCTGGAGCCTTGTGTTCACTTGTTGGCTTTACAACCTTTCCAAGCACTGCTTCTTCAAATAGAAATGGAGTGTGCCTTCCAGTCTTTTCGTTCATACACCGAACACACTATTTGCACTGAAAGCAATTCACAGATTTTAATGTCTACATAAAAATCCAGTACCCTCAAGTGGATTTGACAGCATTGGTATGGAAGACGCCTGCCATCTTAATTTGTTTTGCTCGTCTAGAGCAGGTCTCCTCTTGGTGATAGTCTAGCAGTCACTCCACCTCGGACAGCATTAAGAGAAGTAGTTTGAGCTGGGGATGTCAAATGCCATGAGATGATTTACGTGAGATCCTGTGTTGCTTTCAGGCTTACCAATACCAGGGCAGGCCGGTGCTCCTGGCTTACCAGGCGAAAGAGGAGAAAAAGGCAACCAAGGAATTCCAGGCACGTCTTTGCCAGGATCAAGTGGAAGGGATGGGCCCCCAGGCCCTCCTGGGCCCCCTGGGCCCCCGGGGCGGCCGGGCCACACAAGTAAGTATCCTGAGGAATATCTTCATGTGTGTCTAGCCAGAGGCTAGGAGGCCAGGGCAGAGCTAAGCAGGCATGTTGACTACTCTAGTCAGAGTGTGATACTAAGGCTTGGGTGTCCAACGGTTGGTTAGCTATTCATTTTCTGCTTGGGTAGCTTCCCAGAATTAACCCTGCTTCAAAAAGGAATCATTCAAAATAAAGTTGGTTTAAAGGAATAAGTGACATGTTAACCAGCCCTGAGTCTCCTGGCACCCAAGGTTAAAGGTTAGCTTGTTGAGTTGTGTGGTTTTTATTGAGAACTGAATGCATTCCACTTGCTGTAGAGAAATGGTAAGTAATGACATTAAGACACCACATAATAAAAACAGGGAAGAAGGAATGCATGGGAAGAGTTGCACTATTGTAACAGAATGAATGACTTCAAATTTGGATGGTGTGTCACATGGATTTTTGTTATTTGGGCTAAGCACAGAGCACTGAACTCTTGATGCAATTAAGGTGGCCCTGTGATCTCAAAGTAACTCCAAAGCAAAGTTCCAGAGGATTTATATTAGCCTGGCAGCCTTTAGGTCCTGTGAGCACTATGGAGTATCTGAAATGCTAATCTTTTGTGTGGGTGATTACAGAAGGATTCAACCAGTGAGGTTTATCTGCTGGAATTCAAACACATCTGCATGAAAGGGAAGGAGTTTCCCATGAATGAGTCTTCTGGCAGGACAGATGAGGGCTGGGTGGAGTGATTGATCCCTGGGGTGGAGAGAGGGTTAGTGTGGATTTTGGTGGGAACGTGGAGAGACCACATGTGGCTTTACAGAATTTCCTCCTCTCCTTTTATGATTTTGTGAAATGTGGGTGATGACAATGAAATACAGAAGGTCTGGACACAGGATAGAAAGTCACTCTTTCTGTGTGTTTGAAGGAGGTGTGAGCAGATGAAAGGCTCTTGCCTTCCTTTTTTTTTTTTTGGCAGTATTAGAGTTTGAACTCAGGGCTTAAACTGTGAGCCACCCCACCAGCCCTTTTTTGAGAAGGGCTTTTTCGAGATAGGGTCTCACAAACTATTTGCCTGGGCTGGCTTGGAACTGCAATCCTCCTGATCTCTGCCTCTTGAGTAGCTAGGATTATAGGCGTGAGCGCCGGCACCCAGATCTCTTGGCATCCTTGTTCACTGAGCAGCAGTTGGGGAGCCTGCACTGCATGGGGAGACAGTGTCTAGAGAGACAGTGAGTTGTGCAGTGTGTGGAAGATGACAGCTAAGAGGGTTGACAGTAGCAGGGTAAGGCAAGGTGGAGCTCCAAGGTGGGGCTGTTGCTTTTTAACAGAGTGGTGGCAAAGACACCAAGGTAAGAGAGCAGCAAGGGGGAATCTGGGAATCGAGCATTTTTTGAATATTTGTAATTTCACAAGTTGTAAAATACGAATGCATATCATACAAAATATGAGTGCTTTATTACTGTAATTGAGTAGGAAGTGTTAATTAATATCTGCCACCCCAATTTCCTACTTTGCCCTTTGTATCAATATAAATTAAGTAATTCCCAGTCACAGAGTATTAATTTACAAATGAGATTTTTATTCAGATTTAAAGTGTATGTTAAAGAGGCTGCATTATGGAGGTTCTGCTACTGCACAGCCAGCCCAAAGCCATCTGTGACTGCAGACACCCTCTACGAGCAGATGTCGGAAAATGTGGACCATAAACTTGCTGTTAAGATCTTCCCAGAAATAATCACTATTTCTTGCTTTAGACTTAAAATTATTTTAAGCTCACTCTGGTGAGGGGGAATATTGCTTTTCACCAAGAATGTGAAGGGTTTTTGCTGAGATGAGGCAAGCAGGAGGAACTTTCTGGAAAAGGAATATATTCATCAATATTCATGAGTCTGCATTTTCAGAATTAGGGAATTCATACATCCCAGGCTTGCAGGGCTGTTGATCACGGGTTCTCCATCGTTAAGAGACTTGAGGACTCAGAGCTTGTTCTCTTTGTCTAAGGTGGAGCCTCCCTTGTGCGTGGGTTGTAGGGTTACAGGAATGGAGCAGGACAGGAGGCTCTGGGAGCAGGTCCTCAGGTAGTTATCACAGCTCAGGCATTCTTGCCTCCTGTGCTTTGATGGGAGCAGGTCACAGAAAAAGCCTCCTTCTTGACTTCACTTCTCACACATTTGAAACTTAACTTCTTCAGCTGAGCTCTAAGCCAAACCAGAACGGGTGGTCAGGAGTTCCTGTTCTAGCTGGGGTGGGGGATAGGTTGAACCCGGTTACTGCATCCAGTTTTAACAGCAGCCTCCTACCACAGTTTCAGGGGTCTTCCCACTGGACTTGGGGTGTCCAGAAGGCCTCTGCTCTTCCCGTTCTCCATCAGAAGGAGCAGAGGGTGTGTGTGGAGGAGAAGGGAAGGAGCTCCCTCCCAGCTCGTGGGTGTTTGTACTCTGGCTGTGATGGAGTGCCTGGGCAGAGTTGCTGTTAAAATGCTTCACTCCATCATTTGTCCTCAAAGATGTTGGAGAGGGAAACACAAACTCTACCACAGTGTGGATCTGAACTGTAAAGCCATCCTTCTTTTATGAGAGCCCATGACAGATGGTGTTTACATTGCTGTAATTTATTTTCATGCCTCTTTACATAAATGCTGATCAGCATTGAACATGAACAGAGATTAGGGGTGTTTCTTTGTGGACAGTCTACATCTCTAAATGGTGGTTACTTGATGCAAATATGCCTGGGAATAAAGGGGTGAAGTTGTCCTCATCGTGGGGTTAACTTAGATGCATGCCCGTGGACAGAGCGCTTGACTTGTCTGTGCCTCAGTTTCTTAATCTGTAAGGTGAGGATGAGGACTAGGATGCATGCAGTGGGACTTAGGCTAAAGGGCTGAAGTGTGCTTTAGACTCTGTGAAGTCAATGTTAGCAGCCTTCCCTGGGAGGGGATGGATGGCATGCTGTGTGCTGGTCCTGTTTGGCCAGCTAAAGACCTAGCAGTCTTTTGAAGCAAATGATAACTGGGTTTATAGCACTTAGCAGTTAGCCTCAACTATTTTGCCTTTAAGAGAACTAGTGCTGGCTTTGGCAGCACCTATATAAAAAATTGGGATAATACACAAATTGGCGTGGCCCTGAACAAAGGTGACATGCAAATTCATAAGGTGTTACATAGTTTTCCCAAGTAGAAAAATTAAAATTGCCACTTTAGGAAGAGAAAAAAAGAGGGGGGGGGTTGAAGTAAGAGAGTGTGAGAATGTAACTTTTTATTTCAGATGGCATTGTGGAGTGTCAGCCTGGACCACCCGGGGATCAGGGTCCTCCCGGGATTCCAGGGCAGCCAGGATTGACGGGCGAGATCGGAGAGAAGGGTAAGAGGTTTTAATCTTTGTAAAAAATGTTGGTTGTGTTTGAGGATATGACTTTCTTCCCAGGGGCTCACTCTGGCTTTTGGGTTTGCTCAGGGCGGGGCTCATTCATTTGGGTCTCCCCTCAAAATCACTTCCAGAATAAGCCTTCTATTACCCAGCTGGGACCATCTGGTGCTGAGCTCTTGCAAGAGAGCCGTGACCTGGGAGGGAGAGATGGAGACTTTGTCCTGAAGGGGAGGTGATTTTTTTTTTTACCATTCCACAGACCACAAAGTCAGGGTCACTATGCCAGGCCTCGTCAGTAGATTAATCTCTCAAACAGCTACCACGAGTCGCTTTGAGAGATTCTTTGAGTTCAAAGCCTGAGAGTTTCTTTCTCAAAGAATGCACAGCGCTTCTTTAAGCCGAGTCACAGATCTGTACGTGAAACACTCACTATCCCTATAAGCCGTGTTTTCGTAATCAGCGTGGGCAAGTCTGCCTTGAAGGATTAACCAGCCTCACTGCAGGCTCTCAGTCTTATCTTTAGCCTTTTCAAGTGCTTGCTGTAATGTCAACACAGGACATGTGTATTTATTTCTTCAGCAATCTTGGAGACAGAGGTGGATTGTCACTGCATCAAGGTCCCTGACTTATAGTGGAATGAACAATGGGCATCCCGATATTTATATGCCTGTTAACCCAAGAGCAGAACAAACAGGAGACCCTCATAAAACCGCCCCCATTGTGTGCCATTTCTGGGTCTGAATTGTAAAGAGTTTTTGGTCCTCCAAAGTCTAAGACGTGACTGCCGCGTGGGTAACAGCTTGAGCTGCTGTCTTAGGATCTTGACAGCACGTCATTCCCATCCTTAGGAAGAAGCCACCTTGGAAGTCATCGTAGGATGTCACCACTGAGAATCCACTTGTCATTGGTTTTTATTGAGCCCCTCTCATTACCCGGTGCTTCCCACTTCTGAGAGGGACTGTTCCATTTTTAGACAGACCCATGGCTCGAGTTCTTCACACTGAAATCTTTCTCGTCCACTCCCAGAATCCTTTTTTTCCTTTCTTTCTCATGCTGGGGATTGTAGCCAGGGACTTGAGTGTGCTAGGCGAGTGCCCTACCACGGAGCCATGCCCCAGAGCAAGCAGTGTCTTTCTTCCCAGTCATCATAGTCCCGTTACAGCCCCGTCAGCTGCTGGACCACAGTTTCCTTCCTCCACCTCCAGCCGTGCAGGCACAGACACCACAGAGCTCCACAGTGCCCAGAACTTAGCTGGGCTCTTAGCCGAGCTGCACTGTGTCCATCCCTTCGGGTTCCTCTTCTTTCTCTAGAGGTACACAGGATGACACAGTGTGCTTCCCTTCTCACTTCAAGGAACTAGACCCACCTGTACTGGTCCTGTGTTCGTTTCTGGCCGTGGGGCTGTTGGAAGAGAGCAGACAGCAATGGTGCTCATGGTTGGGGCTGCCAGTCAAAAGGGAGGGTAAGGTGGTGAACTTTTGGGCTCCTCCCTGGGTTCAATACTGTTTGCTCCATGTGCCTGGTTGGTGACAGAACCCAGACATTTCAGGATTTAGAACAGGTATATCTAAAACACCAGAAGGCCTTTGATCTTAGTTTGCAAATCAAGGCTGAAGATGTTACAATTTACAAGAAAGGGTATGTCCTTCCATTTTTCCTTGCTGTGATCTCTCTCACCCTCTCTCCTCCATGTCAGGTCAGGTGCTCTGGCTTTTATAGGTTCTTATTCACATCAGTTACCCTCAACCAGTAATGTGGGCTGAAACCCATCACCCTTTGCTCCTGCTCAGTAACAAACACTGCGAAAAAGAGAAGAAGAGAAAAGGGATGGGAAGTCTTAGAACTAGAGGCAGAGTGACAATAGTCAAGTCTTTTTAGGCTGATAGGCAAAACTGCATTCCCGGGTCACTTTTTGGCATGGCAGCCCCTGTCCTTGCGCCAGGAGAAGGACAGGGACTCACTAGATGTGCAACAAGGTCAGTATGGGATGCTGAGGGCAGCAGGCTGTTCTGTGACACGCGTGTGGACTTAGGGTCTCAGCCCACTAGCAGGGAGAGAACTGAGAAGGGCTGGTGTCGTGGAGTATGTAATGTGTTGATGATGACAGACTCGCCCTTTGCTGTTCTCCACCACACTCTGGGGCCTCCTGGTCACGTGTCACATATAAGAACCCTTTTCTTCTTTTTTTCAGGTCAGAAAGGAGACAGCTGCCTCATCTGTGACACAGCAGGACTTCGAGGGCCCCCTGGTCCACAGGGGCCTCCAGGAGAGATAGGTAAGTCACAGATGTGGAGTGGCTGGACTTGGTACTGGACACCTACTCCCCTGAGCCTGCTTTCCTGCAGTCCAAGCTGCAACTTGACAATGACAGTGAGCCTGGCTCCAGGACTTGTCATGCTGGTGACAGTGGTCAGGAGGCCCGTTGAAAGGAAGGCAGCATGAAGGTCTCTCAGGGATGTGGCTTTTGCAGTACGATGATGTCTGCAGACACTTCACAGGTCCCAGGGCTGCGGGCGGGAGGGGTGTGGTAGCCACCCTTGTCACCTCTCTGAGCCCAGCTTTACCATTTTGGTTATCACTGGTCTCTGGACCTGCTTCAAATGATCATCAGCCTGGTGCAGTGGCTCCCAGCTACTCCTAATGGGGTCTTGGGACGACCATGATCCAAGACCAACCTGGGCAAAAAAGTTAGTGATGCTATTCTGAAAAGATAACTAAAAAGGCAAAAAGGGCTGGTGGAGTGGCTCAAGTGGTAGAGCACCAGCCTAGCAAGCCAAGGCCCTGAGTTCAAACTCACCAAAAAACAAAAACGACATAAAACAAAACTGTCCTCCATATTTTAAAAAGACTGGCATTGTTATTGGGAAAATGACTGAGATGAGTTGGCTCACGATGCTGTTCTGTCTTCTTCAAAAGGTTTCCCAGGACAGCCAGGGGCCAAAGGTGACAGAGGCTTGCCTGGCAGAGACGGCCTTGAAGGACTGCCGGTGAGGAAGCATGTCTGAGTTCATGCATACACTTTGCTTTTGCACGTTTGCCTTCTGTGTTCTGTGGGAGCTGGTAATAAACCACTGTGCAGAACACTGATGACACTCTGCCGAGTCTGAGCCTGAGCCTGACGATTACGTCCAGACCTCCATGGTCCTTGTCAGAGCTGAGCTGTGGCTTCTGTGTTCTGGTCCAGCTGAGCAGCGCTGTGTCCTTCCCTTGGGGTCTCAGAGTCAAATGGTGCCATGGGTCAGCCTAGCTGCAGAGTTCAGGTGCTGTTTTTCTGCATGCTCGTGGCTTGTAGCATCACTAAATCACCTAAAATCTCATCAACCAGTGGACGAGAGGGAGGAAACCGACCTTTTCCTGTCTAGGGATTTGGGGTTCCTTTCATTCTTTTATAGATAAATATGTTGAGAATTCTCTTACCAACTTGTATAAGATGCCTTTTCAAATCTATAAATGAAATACTATAAATTCATATAAATGAATTTGAAACCTTTCAGCTAGACAAAATACCAGCTTCTTAGCCATTCCACAGACAAGAACGAATCATCTTGAGTACAGAGGGCGTTGTTTGATTGCACACATACACTTCTTGTTTCTGAGGCTTGAACGCCTTCCCTTGCTCTGCTCCTATTCTCCCAGGCTGCCAGGCTTCCTAGGCATTAATTTGTTTCTCTCATTCCTTTCATTCCTTTTTTCTTTTTGTCAGAAATCGAAAGACCCATCTTTAGCCTTATCCCTGTCTGATGTAGCTCTTTAAAATTTTTAGCGTTTTAAGGATATTACTAGAAGTGTCTCCAAAGGAGGCACAAAATGAATCAGAACAGAGAGGGAACAGCTGGAATCTGCAGTGGTTTCTTCTTTTGAAGTTAGATCCTGGCTTCTGCTTTCCAGAGCTGCTCTGGTGCCTAGAGAGCTGAGTTAGAAGTCGCAATTGTTTAAATATTTCTAAATAGCTCAGAAGTTCAAATGGCTGACTGTAGTGGGATCAAAGTGGGAAGATCTTTGAAGAAGCAGAAAAGGATCTTTTAACCTCTGTCCATCCTCTTTATCTGCCGGGCTTTCCTGGGGTACTTCCTGCCTCCAGTCTGGCTGGGATCCAGGCCAGATTCCCGGCTATCGGCCCAACCCCCAAGTCTAATGAAAGTAGAAGCTGAGGAAAGCAGTGATACAGAAAGATGGTGGCGGAGAAGTTATGATAAAGAAGAAAATTAAAAAGTGCTCACCTCGTGCCATTTCCCTAGATGGAAATGCCTCTAAAAAGAGATTGAGACGTAAATAACTTAATTGAGAAGACAGTAATTTTCTTTACTTGAAGTTGCACCATAGCTCCATGGTTTGACCAGCTCACACATGTGTCCTTGGATTTTGAATTTGGCTGAACACTGGAAGAGGTACCCACAAACAGCAGGATACCCTGGACTATAGACTGTGATGAAAGCAGGCCATGCTCTGGGGTTTTTGTTTTGTTTTGTTTTGTTTTGAGGGGTCAGATAGCATTTCTGTGACTTTTCCTTTTGAAAGCTGAGTGTTTGATTTGGGGAGCAAATGGCTGCCTGAGTGAGACGAGGACACCCAGGTGGGTCTGAGCCAATTTCATGGTGAGGTTGTCTTGCCTGGACCTGGCCCAGAAGCACCACTTTCAGAAGTGGACAGCGCAGTGTTGACCTTCCCTGGTTCACGCAGCACTGAGTTTGCAAGGCAGCATTTGAGTCCTTGCGTCCAGTGCTCAGCATCCATATTAAGGGATATGGATCAAATAACTTTTGAACAGCTCTGCTTCAAGACATTATATGTCCTAGGTCATCTGTGCCACTTAAAAAAAAAAAAAAAAGATTTCTCCTTAAATAGAATGATGACTGGCCCTTAAGGTCCTCATTATTAAAATGAAGAAATTACATTTTCTTACCATAATTTCATAGGGGAAGCTGCACGTGACTATGCCATGAATAATCACCACAAAATAACCCAGTGTTCTTTCAGATTGAGAAAAACATATATACTGGTTATAATTTCTTCCATTGGTTATTTTTTAGTGGCCGAATATGGCCAGCTGGACATCTGCTTCTTCTAATGTCCCAAAGACAGACAGAAACCCTTGGTTCATTCCCAAATACCAGGGGAGGGACAGACCTGCTATGGTATCCCAGAGAGAAAGAGTAATATCTAGTGGCAGATACTTTTAAAATCTAAAGATTACATAGATTCATACATGAATTTTGGTCTGTCGTTGGTCCTCCAGTGCCTTCTTAGAGAAGTGTACCCTGTAGGAACACAGAGAAGTATGTGCACTCATGGCTACCTAAGGACATTTAGAGAGAGTTTATGAAACAAGATCAAAATGAAGTGACTTGTGCAAGGTCTGTAGCGAGCCCGAAGGTTCCTTTCTTAGACCCAACACATCAAGCAAATGGGACAATCATTTTCCTTGTGAACCTTGGCTCTCAGAATGGCTGGATGAGAAAGGGTGCTGGGTGTGAGCATTCTTTATAGATTCAAGTTTCCAGGAACTGATAATGTTCTAGAATGTGTCTCTCTGGAGAGTCTTGGGAAAGTCCAAATAACCTCACAATAACTAATTATAGAGCTGGCTCAATGCTCACTTCCCCCAAGTTTCCTCTCTCACTGGTGCCCTGGAAGTCCTTATCTCTTCCTGAATATGAGTTACGAGCGCCAAAGGAAACTCAAGTGATTTCAGCATTGCCTAGACTTTGAACAATGGCTACTCTCAACCCATGTTGACACTGAAGCTGCCATCTGCAGTCAGAAGCCATTTCTCCAGTGTCTCTGGGCTCAGGAGTCCAACATGTAGCACCTCCCACAATTGCTAAGGTGTTCTCATGAAAGTTTTACAGCCCTAAGGGAAAGGCAAGTTACCAAAGGACTTTCCAAGAATTGGGTGCCAGTGACATCCAGTACTCTTCTGTCCTATCTGGTCTGTTTGGAATGCATCAAGCAGTGAGGCAGACCTGGGCACTGTCAAGAAGCTATTGGCTTATTTCTTTTTTTTTTTTTTTTCTTTTTTCTATTATTATTCATATGTGCATACAAGGCTTGGGTCATTTCTCCCCCCTGCCCCCACCCCCTCCCTTACCACCCACTCCGCCCCCCCTCCCCCCCTCAATACCCAGCAGAAACTATTTTGCCCTTATTTCTAATTTTGTTGTAGAGAGAGTATAAGCAATAATGGGAAGGAACAAGGGTTTTTGCTGGTTGAGATAAGCATAGCTATACAGGGCATTGACTCACATTGATTTCCTGTGCATGGGTGTTACCTTCTACGTTAATTATTTTTGATCTAACCTTTTCTCTAGTACTTTGTTCCCCTTTTCCTATTGGCCTCAGTTGCTTTAAGGTATCTGCTTTAGTTTCTCTGCGTTAAGGGCAACAAATGCTAGCTAGTTTTTTAGGTGTCTTACCTATCCTCACCCCTTCCTTGTGTGCTCTCGCTTTTATCATGTGCTCAAAGTTCAATCCCCTTGTTGTGTTTGCCCTTGATCTAATGTCCACATATGAGGGAGAACATACGATTTTTGGTCTTTTGGGCCAGGCTAATCTCACTCAGAATGATGTTCTCCAATTCCATCCATTTACCAGCGAATATGGAATATAAAATTCCATTGTGTATAGATACCACATTTTCTTAATCCATTCGTCAGTGCTGGGGCATCTTGGCTGTTTCCATAACTTGGCTATTGTGAATAGTGTATTGGCTTATTTCTTAAAAGTACACTGAGGAGAGGGAAACACATGGTGGTTTTCCAGGAGGCTGGCTTCTTGACTTTACTGCTCACCAACTGCTGGTGTACTTCATGGGTAGATTCTTCTGTGGCATTACAAAGCTTTGTTCTTACAGGGGCCGCAAGGTACACCTGGGCTGATGGGACAGCCAGGAGCCAAGGGAGAGCCTGGCGAGATTTATTTCGACATGCAACTCAAAGGCGACAAAGGAGACCCCGGTTTTCCAGGACAGCCTGGCATGCCAGGGAGAGCAGGGACCCCTGGACGAGATGGCCATCCAGGTCTTCCTGGCCCCAAAGGTTCCCCGGTATGTTGGTTTCCAAACTGAACATGCATTTCCCAGACGTTGAACTGCGAGAGTGAAGAATTGCATGGTTCCAATCCTGTTTGCTTTTTAATTTGATGATAACGGGAGCACGTGAACTTGTTCCGTGGCTCTGGAGCTGACCTAAGTGCATGAACCTAGGGGTTGGTGGGGTGATCAACGGGTGAGTCTCTTAACATGTTGGGCAAGTGAACAGATAAATTTTCTGTCTCTATGCCTTCACTGGGAAGCCAGTTCTAAAGCCTTATCACTGTTTGAAAGAGATTGGGGTGTGGCTGTCATCCTCTGAAGTGCCTCCTTCCCAGGCTCTGGGAGGGACAGTGACTGCTTGGCTTAGGAAAGTGTCACTTGTCCACAGCAGGTTGACTTGTGGAGGCTGAAAAAGTAAATAGTGTAAGCCACTTCGACTCTGTCACTTCCCTGTTGCAGGTGACAAAAAAATGGGTGGGGATAGCAGTGCTGTCTGCCTCCTGCTAACCTTTTCCTCTTCCTCTTGTCTCGCAGGGCTCCATAGGATTGAAGGGAGAGCGTGGTCCCCCTGGAGGGGTTGGCTTTCCAGGCAGTCGTGGTGACATTGGCCCTCCTGGGCCTCCAGGATTTGGTCCCATTGGCCCCATTGGTGACAAAGGACAACCCGGCTTTCCTGGAAACCCTGGGTCCCCAGGCCTGCCAGGTGAGACTTGAGGATCTGCTGGGCAGCTTAAAGGTCACAAAGACCAGTCAGGGATGCAGGGTGTGTGCCTGGATTCAGTTTTCCAGGAAGACGGTAGTGGCTCAAGCAAGAGCCTCTTTAACCTTTCTGTGCCTCATTTTTTTACGTGTGAGATGGGCCAGGTAATGCATGGGACCAAAAAGAACCTAAATTTACAGGTTGCCTTCTTCAAATGCATAAAATGCACCCTTTTATATAGAAATAAATCAAAACATAGGGCCATTTTGTTCTCTGTATCTATTTCCTGCTCCTTTTGGCCAAGTCTACAGCAGTTCCCATGCTGATTTCAGTCTTTTGCTGACTATTTTTTGGGTGGGCCAGGCACTGTGGTGAGTTGACAAGAGATGGGAAGAAAGACAGATGTGGTCTCTTGCCTTTCTGCCCTCCCCACCCTGGGGTTTGGCAGAGAACTCATGCGGGGACCAAATATGGCTTCCCATGTGTTCCCTACTCTCCATGAGCAGGTTACTGTTGGGACCCTGGGGTGAAAGGTGCCGCCCTCAGCCTTGGACAGCAGGGCACTCTGTCATTTATGATTTCAAGTAGATACAGAACACAAATAGCGTTCCCTAGACAATCATGGATGAGAAGGGTAGAGGCCAGAGGTGGCCTGTGCAGAGAGGAGGAAGTAAGAGTGTGTTACCAGGAAAGATTTTAAAAGTTGTAAGAGCTAATGAAGGATTTAAGGTGATTAAAACTGTGTGAGTCATAACTCTTGAAAAAATTAATCAGTAGTGGGTGTCAAAATACTCAACAAGAATTTTGTGCAAGAAATTATGCTATGCTCCTTCTAGCTCAATGGTCTGCTGATTCTGTCCTTAGCCATAAATGTAGCCCTGGTTTTCTCACTTCCTGACCCCATTAAGGACATTATTTACTCATGATGATATAGTGTGAGGGTCTCAAGCATCTTAACACAGGCACACCAGCCAGTCTTTGATATAAGTCCAAAAACAGCCCAGGGCATGCATGGCGTTTGCACAGCCATCCATCACTCAGCCCAGTTGTGACTTCAGTGATAACTGTTCCTTGTTAAGCAAGGAACCCTAAACTGTCTCTTTTATGACTCTTTGAGAAACAGGTAAATCTTGGAATGATGCCAGTGAGCCAGAAAAAGGGACCTTTGATCAATTCTCCCCATTGCTCTTGATTCCAAAAATCAACAACTCAAGTGTGCTTGGTCATCTGCTGATTTTCACAGCTATCAAAAGTGGCTTCCTTTTGAGCAGAAATGAACCTTGGAGAAATCAAAGGGGCACTTACAAGTAGACCCCAGCATGGGAGGGAAGAAGGCTCCTGCAGGAGGTGTTGACAGTGGTGTTGACCAGCTGTCCATGTTCTGGAGAATTCTTTACCATCCAGATCCAGTACACTTCTGGATTAGAAAACTGACCTTTGATCTGCCAGAACTGTGTTTGTGTGGCAATCATAAAAGCCAGGATCCCAGATGTGTGCAGATGTCTGCGGAGGTCAGTCAGTTCTCTCATCTTGCTAGAGACAGCTGGCCACTTCTGGGAGGCTCTGCTTATCTGGAATTCCTGTCCTGCATGGAGGAGTCCTTGCACATGCCTGGAGGGGACCCCTCGTGGTTCTTTCTTTACAGCTGCATCCTGACTCCCAGTGGGCAGGGGCTGGACCCACACCTGTGGCTACAGGTGGAGGGAATTCCTACAAGCTCTGGGGTACTCAGAACTGCCCAGAGCCACTACTGTGGATAAGGGATTGTGCATAATTGTGTTGTGTAGACAGTTTATCACTGGGTAAGCAGAACTTAGGCCAGCTCATAGTAATTAGAACTAGTCAGATAAATTGAGAGAGAATGGAAAGCTAATGAAGAAATGAGCCAGGGCTGTCTGACTTTTTGCTATAGCAGATTTTTCAACTTTTCATGGCTCTAATTTGAAATTCTTGCAGAATTCCTGTGTCAAACATCTTGGTTGTTTTGGACATGATTTTTGGGGGAGAGGGGTGGCTGTCTGTGAGAGATTCCAGGAACATAAAGGGAAAAAATGGAAACAGAGACTTCTCTTTCAGGGTCCAGGTGCTTCAGCAGAGGGGTTGGCATCCACAGACTGTGCCCCAAAAGGATGCTGGGTGTCTGCTGGGGTGCAATGGCTTGTGTGCGAGGTCCCAAGAGGTGCAGCGGCTCAGACACTGCCTGCAAGAGGATGGGTTGCCACGGTTCACATACTTGATGGTTTTGCTCTCTTCTCAGGTCCAAAAGGTGAAGCAGGGAAGGTGGTTCCCTTACCTGGCCCCCCTGGAACATCAGGACTCCCAGGGTCCCCAGGATTCCCAGGCCCTCAAGGTACTCTTTGAATCCTAGCTCACCTGGTCATAATGGGGGCTCCCTGGGGTTTTTCTCCCACTAACCACTGGTCTTTCTCACTGCAGGTGACCGAGGCTTCCCAGGAGCCCCAGGACGGCCAGGCCTCCCAGGAGAGAAGGGTGCTGTGGGCCAGGCAGGGATTGGATTTCCTGGGCCTCCTGGCCCCAAAGGTAAACCTGCCAGATGAGCCAAGTATGACAAGGCCAGGATAGGTGTCTGTTGTCACTGGTCAGTAGAAATAGGCAATGGCCATGTCTCTCCCTTCACCCTCACATGAATCTGTAAGGAAAGAGAGGACCAGAAGGACAACTGTGGTTGGTGCCCATGATGCTAGGCAGGGCTCTCGTGGGCCCAAGTCACTCAGATGATGGTGATCTCACCACCTCACGCAATGGCAGGTGTCACTTCACGTGGAGGGAAGAGGGTGCCACAGAGGGAGCAGTAGCCACCCAGGCACCGCCACACTGTGTTTGTTCAAGTGAAGAGAGTGTGGGGGAGGGTAACTGCAATGATCTTCTTACTCTTCACAACAGGTGTTGATGGTGTACCTGGAGACGTGGGACCTCCTGGAAATCCAGGTCGTCCAGGATTTAATGGCTTACCTGGCAACCCGGGCGTGCAGGGCCAAAAGGTGGGTCCTGAGCATTTCCCAGTGGACACATGAAATACGGGTATTAATCTTACAGGGTAGGTTGAACTAATGTGTGGGGTTCTTTTTTAATAGCACAGAATAGAAAATACCAGAAGACATAGCACCTGCAGGACGTTTTCTGAGATTTCAATCTTAGGAAACATCTGTTCTGGTATTGTGAAGTTTTCTTGCCTGTGTGTGCTGGGTCCATGTGACATTTTTCACCTGTGAGTGGCAGATGAAAGCTGTTTGAGAGTCACTGGCATAGAAGAAATAGTAGCCAGCCAGGAGGGCCACAGGCAGGGCTTCTCAATGAGGCACAGTGACCCCAGGGCTGTCCTATGCTCATTGACTTTACCAGTAGCAGCACCCCATGCCCCTCGCCCTGAGCTGCCCTGAGACACCCATGGAGCACTCTCCATGCACAGTTGTGATAACTGAAGACATGCCCCCATTGCCAGGTGTCACCTGCGGCAATCTTGCCCTGCACCCTGGTGCAGGGTGACTTCAGGATTCTCCTAGAGCTCCAGTGTCCTTCTCCCGGCCCCCCCACCCCCCCAGACTTTAAGCCCCCTCAGCAATGGAGTGTCTGCTGATCAGATCCTTTTCCGTTCTGGTTAGAAGGAACAGAAGGGTTTGTTAGCAGGCATTGGCACTAGGTGGGGTAAAGGCCAGAACCAGGAGCCCGTTTGCTCCCTCTCAGGGGAGAGCAGGTGCACACAGAGGCAGTGGTGCCCCAGTGACAGGGTCTTCTTCCTGAGGAACATTCAACACCTGGGGTCCTTGTTCTGTGTGGCTGAGGCCTAAGAGAAGCCTCTAGACATTTGTCATATAACACACCAGCAGCCTATCCACACTTGTTTGAAAATCAGTGGACTGTTGGAAGCACATGAACGGCCTTAAACAGTCGAGGCCCGGGAGTTGGCAAACGCTGAGTAGAATCAGGACGAATGATCTTATTTCCAAATAAAATACCAGGCTTTTGTGAGAAACCCTTGGATGGAGCTCCTTCCATTGCTTGTTTCCTGCCAGGATATGTAGTTAAGTGACCAGTGCCTGCTATGGCCAAACGCCATACCCCCATCTGTAAGTTGTCACTGGCAGCGACCCCAGACGAGCACTGTAGTTCTATGTGCACCTGCTCCCTTCAAATGCCCTGTCTCCCTGCCTCGGTTGAGGCTGTCTCAAATGCAGCCTTAGCCCCACAACTCTTCCTTTATTTCCAGTCACCACATTTGTCAAAGCCCCTTGATTCACACAATTGTTCTAAATATTTGTTGAGAAGCTTTTATGTTTGCAAGAAACTGAATACATGGTGTCCAGGCCCGGTCCTTAGGAAAATACTCATTAGCCAGTCACAAGTCACACTGCGGGGTGCTCTCAGTTATTTAGGGTCAGTCTTCATCACAGGCACAGGGCAGTGGGGTGGAGGGGCCATGCTGGGGAAGAAGATCTGGGGGAAAGTCTTGATTTTCCCTGTTTGTAATATGAACATGGTTAGTTACCTATGCCTGGGGCTTGTGGAGAGGCAGACAGGAAATGAGGTCTGAGGGGCCTTGCAAATCTTTGGAACAGGTTGGGCAGACACTCTTCTTACCGAATTCATTGGAACCACTTATCTTCATGCACGTTGTTAGTGTGATAAAAATATTGGCAGCGCTGGTTGATTTGCTTCTTGTGTTTTGGGGATTTTCTTTTTTTTTTTTTTTTTTTTTCATTTTTCTTTTATTATTCATATGTGCATACAAGGCTTGGTTCATTTCTCCCCCCTGCCCCCACCCCCTCCCTTACCACCCACTCCGCCCCCTCCCTCTCCTCCCCCAATACCCAGCAGAAACTATTTTGCCCTTATCTCTAATTTTGTTGTAGAGAGAGTATAAGCAATAATAGGAAGGAACAAGGGTTTTTGCTGGTTGAGATAAGGATAGCTATACAGGGCATTGACTCACATTGATTTCCTGTGCGTGGGTGTTACCTTCTAGGTTAATTCTTTTTGTTTGGGGATTTTCAGGGAGAGCCTGGAATTGGTCTGCCAGGACTCAAAGGACAGCCGGGTCTTCCCGGCATTCCGGGAACACCTGGGGAGAAGGGCAGTGTTGGAGGACCAGGTGTTCCCGGAGAACACGGGCTGATCGGCCCCCCTGGGCTTCAGGGGATCAGAGGTAACTTCTTAGACTGGGTCAAGGACCTGGTCTGTTGATTTTGAACCCCAGAGTGCCTGCCAGTGAGTGCTCAGGCCATATTTGTTGAGCGGATGATGATCCCTGACGGTTTTGTGGTCGTGGCTGTTGTGCAAATGGGAGGCACTGTAGTCCCCAACTCATCACAGTCTTTCCCCACAGGTGACCCAGGACCTCCTGGAGTGCAAGGCCCTGCAGGACCACCAGGAGCTCCAGGAATAGGCCCCCCTGGAGCTATGGGCCCTCCTGGAGGGCAGGGACCCCCAGGATCGTCAGGTAATGTGGTGTTCTCTGAGAACTGCCCTTTCTCTAAAACATGTGAATGGTGGGGTGGGAGTCTTTGTGGAGGGGATGTTAGCACAATAGTGTTTGAAAGAAAAGAGGAGAAAGTAAATTCTAGTGTCTGAAAATGAGTTTGAAGGTCTATGAGCATAGACTCATGGACTTCCATTATTTCCTCCCACTGAGGTTGGTTTATAAACTGGAGCTCTCTCTATTGAACAGTCAGTGACTCTATAAAAGTCATTTATATTCATGATGATGTCACCATGTTATCTTTGCGTAGGAGGCTTAACAATCTGATGATAGTTTTAACCAGTTGAGTCCATGTCTGGATACCTTTGTCTTTATAATAACAAAAATCTTAGAATTATGGTGGCACAGGAAGAATTGAGTAAAATATTCAGTGAAAACTGATCTACGACTGGTGGGCCTTCGAGTGGTAATTCTGACTGCTGACGGTAGAGAGGGCTTCCCCTTGGGACCTCATGCATCACCTGGTTGTCTTGGTGACTCCCGACTGCAGATCATCCAAACCCCCAGTGCTGGCATTTTCACCTGCCTTCTTCAGAAGCACAAGAAAGTCTATTGTCAACCATCAATTCTTCTAAAAGTTATTTGTACTTCCTCCAACCTCAGGTCCTCCTGGAGTGAAAGGAGAGAAGGGATTCCCTGGATTCCCAGGGCTGGACATGCCTGGCCCGAAAGGTGATAAAGGTGCTCAAGGACTTCCCGGCCTGACAGGACAGTCAGGGCTCCCTGGCCTTCCTGGACAGCAGGGGACACCTGGAATTCCAGGGTTTCCAGGTATGAAATGTTTGAGCTTTCACTCAGATTGATGGTGAGGAAGCAGGCCTTACTGTGTTCTTTCATGACTTATAGTATTTACCATCTGTGGTCCACCTGCAGAAATGTTCATAGTTCTTCTTTTTGGCCACAGGTTCCAAGGGAGAAATGGGTGTCATGGGGACCCCTGGGCAGCCAGGCTCACCAGGACCTGCAGGTACTCCAGGATTGCCTGGTGAAAAAGGTAGGAGAGTTGACAATCCCCAAACAGTCTTGTGTCTTTATTTCTCCAGTGTCTTGGGAAATTCTTACATTGCCATAGATTGTATTTCAAGAAGCAGATGAAAGAGGTGCAGACGACCTAGCAAGTAGCTGACAGACGATTTTCTCCCAGTGGGGATAAATTCATGGTGCACAGTGGATGGGGATGAACAGCTGTGCTTTCCCCTGTGTTGGGGGAAGGCGGGCGAGCTGAGATTATTTCAGTCATGTGAGACACAGGAACCAAGTCCTTAGATCCAAATTATTAAGTGGACCACTGTTCAAATCCTAATTTTCATTTCTTGGGATTTGAAATTTGTCCAAAATAGTTTTTTTAAACAGGAAAAGTCCTATCCTATGATTTTTGTATGGCACTATAAGCCAAGTTATAAAGATATTTAAGAAGGAAGGAGAGAAAAATTATCTCAACTTAGCCAAGTGACTCTGTTAGAATTATTAGCAAATCATGAATTTTAGAGAATGGCTTTACTGTTCATTTACCTGGGGTCAGACTCTCCTGTGTGACTCAGATACTCACCACCTGATGTCAGTGTTGATGCGTTCTAGTCTTCCCTTCTTTAGCAGTTGTTACGATTAGCCAGAAACAGCTCAGTTCTTTGCACTCGTGTCCAGAGGGCGTCTGGGTCTCACTGGGTGCTCCTCTTTCCTCTGCAGGAGACCATGGCTTCCCTGGCTCCTCAGGACCCAGGGGAGACCCCGGCTTCAAAGGTGATAAAGGAGACATCGGGCTCCCTGGCAAGCCAGGGTCCATGGATAAGGTGGACATGGGCAGCATGAAGGGACAGAAGGGAGACCAAGGAGAGAAAGGTGTGTGCATGCAGGAAAAGCCTTTAGTGATGAAGATGCTTGTCCTGCTACACAGGACCAAGCCATCTTGTGTTTCTGTAGTGATTGACCCTCTAGGCAATGGGCCCTCATTTTTTTTTTTTTTTTCTGTGATGTCTAGGACAAATTGGACCCACTGGTGACAAAGGTTCCCGAGGAGATCCTGGGACCCCAGGAGTGCCTGGGAAGGATGGTCAGGCAGGGCACCCCGGACAGCCAGGTAGGTGTCGGAGAGCAGGTGCCCGGCGGGGCCAGAACCCATCCTAAAGATAACACTGCCCTGCTCCTTTTGCAGTTGTAACCTACTGGATTTTCTCATTATTATTCTAGGACCTAAAGGTGACCCCGGTATAAGTGGCACGCCAGGCGCCCCAGGACTTCCTGGACCAAAAGGATCAGTTGGTGGAATGGGCTTACCAGGTACACTGGATTTGGAGACAGTCATTCTAGCACAGGCACAAGTGCACGCAGAGCTGGTAGGACAGGACTGCAGAGTGGCCCTCTTCTGCCAGGAGGACCTAACTGTAACCCATTGATCACATCCTCCATTCTGGATGGCCTCCTGACTAGGGACAGGTAGCATTTGGCTAACAGTATGACCATTGCTTAAAAAAAGTTAAAAAAGCAAAAATCCTCATGGTATAACAAAGTAGAACATGAGCTGTACACAGTCAACATTGGAACATTCCCAAGTGACCTGTCCACCTGGCTGGCTTCTTTCTGGGAGACGTCCAGCTCCCCCACTCAGGTCCGTCAGTGCAAGCAACTTACCCTCTAGTGCCCTCCGTTGAGCTCAGACGAATCCTGTGCTCTGCTCTGCCCCTTGGGGCTGCCTTTGTGCCTGGCCATCCCTGTCTGCTCCAGTGGGAGAGCCAGAAGAGAAGGACGGTGGAAGAAGGGAGACCAGCACAGGACAGTTTGGGTGGCAGTGCTCAGAGCACACTGCCTTGCTGCCTCCTCCCAAGTCTTTGCAGGAGGCGCTGACCACTTCATTTAAAATATAACATTTCAGGTGCGGGATATACCTCCGTGTAAAATAGTCTGGCACCAACATGTTCCAAAGCCTACCACGCACCACTCAGACCGTCTCACGGTCCCTCTGAGTTTTTGGTTAATGAGGGTTGATCATATCATATAATATAAATGATATAATTTGTCTCATCGCATAAAAGCCATGTTTATACTGTTGATTAAGGAAGTACTCTAAGTAGCGGACGTATTTTACTCTCGCTTTATTAAAAGACAGCCATTAAAAGAGAGGAGCAGGGGGTGTGTGCTGGTGCGGCGCTGGTGTGACTTCCCTGAGGACACCCAGCCGGGCCAATTGCAGATTGATACATGAAGAGACCTGTTTTCCGTGTCCTCCATCTGGGCTGGGTCTCAGGACTCGCCGATGTCACGTTCAGGTTTCAATTGTCTGTGTTGATAGGAACACCCGGAGAAAAAGGTGTGCCTGGCATCCCTGGTCCTCAGGGCGTCCCTGGCTCACCTGGAGACAAAGGAGCAAAAGGAGAGAAAGGGCAGGCAGGTCTGCCTGGCATTGGGATACCCGGACGACCTGGTGACAAGGTAACCTGCATCCCTCATGGAAAGGTCCCCACCTCCCGTCTCCATGGTGGGATTTCCTGAGAAGTCCTAATAATTCCTCCCAGCTTACTGTAAGCTGCCTCCCCTTCTACTCCCCACGTCTCCCCCTCAGGAAGACTCTAGAGTCTTTTCAAAAGGTGAAGGTGGCTGGACAGATGCACTGAGGGGTAGAGAGGACCTTGGCAGGAAGGAGAGAGACACAGGGCACTTTTGCCCTCTTCGTGCTCTCCCTCTTTGTGCAGAAGTAGACGGACTCTTGGGTGAGAACTCTGGAAAAGGAACCCAGCAACGTCATAATCACTGCACCAAAACATATACTGTTACCCAGAAAGTGTCCACAGAGGCACGTCCAGGGACAATTGCGGTTAACATGCCCATTCTTACTCACAGGGCGACCAAGGACTAGCGGGTTTCCCAGGAAGCCCTGGAGAGAAGGGAGAGAAAGGCAGCACAGGGATTCCGGGAATGCCGGGGTCCCCGGGCCTCAAGGGGTCTCCAGGGAGCATTGGCTATCCAGGTAGGTGGACTAGGGCCTCCAACTGGGTGGTGGTCCAAAGAAGACAAAGAAAACCCCAACTTACAGGCTTTCGGGATTTTTGTTTTTTCTTTAGGAAGCCCTGGCTTGCCTGGGGAGAAAGGAGACAAAGGCCTCCCAGGCCTGGACGGCATTCCTGGTGTCAAAGGCGAGGCAGGTAAGGATCCTCCCTGGAACAGGCAGGGCAGGTGGAGGACTGCCGGAGATGGGTGTCTTAGCCTCCTGCGAGCATCCATCACAGTAAACCAGGCCCGCGGACCCTTCTGGGGGCCCAGTGGACCAGCTGGTTCTGTCCCTCTTTTTAGATCAACAAACTGTACCTGGGGATGGGGGAGGGATGCAGGGTCTTTCTGAGGTTTTACCATTAGTTAGGAACCAGGACCAGAATCTCCGAACTCTCTTCTGGAGCCGTCGTGGCATTCTCTGTGCTCCCACTAGACTACAAAGTTTTGGGGTTCACGGTGCTGCTAACAGTGGGAGGGTCCCTTCTGAAGGGTGTCAGAGTTGACCTCAGGAATACTAGGCACGTGCAAGAGGAACGCAATTAACTTAAAATGTCCGAAAGGAGCCATTTCCCATGGAGACCAGGGTGCTGGGAGGTGCCGTAAGTAACTGTGTGGGATTTCTCTCCAAGGTCTTCCTGGGACACCTGGCCCCAGTGGCCCAGCTGGCCAGAAAGGAGAGCCCGGCAGTGACGGAATTCCAGGATCAGCAGGGGAGAAGGGTGAACCCGGTATGTCCTGCCTCCATTCTCCTTTAGAGACTGATTCACCACGTTGAGTGAACAGGGCCAGGCAGACAGAGGCACATCTACTGTGTACTCTACAGCTACTGAAGTGGACATGAATGTGAGGGCTGTGATTGGGTGGAAAGAGAACATTCGTTTATTCCACAAGTGCTTATGGGTACCTGCCCTTGACTTTTTTCTTTTTTGGCCGTACTAGGGTTTGAGCTCTGGGTCTCACACTTGCTAGGCGCCCCTCCCCCACTTGATTGTCCCCCACCACCACCACTGCTCACATCCACTGACTCTCCAGTACTGCCCCAATCCCTCCAGCTCTCTTGCTTCCTTTGAGGATGACAATTAGGTGAATGGCCATCTGAGAAAAGCCAGTTTGTTCATCTCAACAGTAGCAGCGTTACAGCTAGCTGGCTGGAGTCCTTTCGGTCTACCTAGATAGAAATTGCGAGTGGACAAGCCTCTCTCAGCGCTAGCAGTCTCAAGCCCTTGAGGGACCAAGGTCTGTCTCCAAGGCCTGAGAGCTGAGGGCCTGTTGCTCCAGGTGTTGGAAGCTAAAGACTTAGGGCTATATGCACTCAGACTGGACAGTTACTGCTCTGGACTTTAACCACAAGTGGCCCTGGCACTTGGCAGCCATTGTAATCCTCAGCTTCCAACAGCTGCGAGTGGCAGCAGCAGGCAGCAACTGCTAGTATTACAGCTCCTGAACAGACCTTGTGTTGGTCCTTTAGTAGATAATCTTACAGCTTTGGGGCTGCTTGGCAGCTCCCTGGAAGCCTTCCAGGGTCCACAGTTTCTTGTCTTCACCTTTTCCAGCCTCATTGTCTTTGCTGTCTCTGTTCCTCCATTGTCTCTGTCCTGTCCACTCTTGTCGCTGCTGCTGCTGTCATTCTGCCACCACTTCTGACATCTCCTCTGTGTTAACAGCATGGCCTGCTCCACTAGTAATGAAGACCAAAAGTCAGCAAGAAAAGACCACCAGAGAGAAGCCTAGCTCTGGGCCTAATGTTGCAACACTAGGGGGCAGCACAGGAGGGTGTCTCCCCAGCAGAATGGCCTGCTTATACAGCCAGAAAGCGGGTGGAGTGAGGTTGTTTGCATCGGTCACAGCAGTCCTTCATGCAAATAAACACCTGTGTTTGCGCCAATCATCACAGTCCTTCATGCAAATAAGTGACCCTTTGTCCCAGTCACAAGCCTTCTTGCTGGGTCAGCAGGGAAGTGCTCCCCGCTCTGTCCTGGGCAAACATGGCTGTCAGGTCACTTGGACTTCTCTGAGCTTGTCTTGCTCAGAGTGCTGCTTTCCAAGGACTAGGTTGTGGTGTCCTTTGCAGCTGCTGGACTGTCCTCAGAGTGGTCATGAAATGTCTATGAGGGCAGTCTGGCCAGTTGCTAGTGAAGGGACTGCTTGGCTCACAGTTCTGTGCACAAAGCTGCCAGGCACAGGGAAGTCCTGTCAATTGACTTGCTCTTGGCAATTTTAATCATTCACAGAAATCTTTAAAAGGGTATTTTCAATAGACTTAATGACAGCTCAACTCAGACCCAACAATGGCAGTAGCATGTACCAACAGTGCTAAATGGTGTTTAACTCCTGCCCCAGTCCCCAGGGACAGTTGGGTCCCTCTGATCTATCTGTAAGAAATAAATACTCACTAATATGGATCATTTCTACGAAGTGCTACAATGGCTGTGAGCTGAAGGTACTTAGAAAAAGTACTAACTCATAACCACCCAGTGCACCTCATAACAGCCGCGGTAATACAGTTTTGCTCCCAAGTTACTCTGAACTGATTTCCGAGTGCTACATAAATGGCATGTGTATCAGAACAGAGCTGATGCCTCTTTGGGCTGTCGCTAAGAACTGATTGAGACCTGTGATTTCTGCCCTTATTCTACAGGTCAGCCAGGAAGAGGACTCCCAGGGTTTCCAGGGGCCAAAGGAGACAAAGGTACTGTTTTCTGAACTTGCTCCTCCTTTTCAAACCCCTACTGCTGCTGTAAAGAAGGGTAGAGGACCTGTTCTCTGGACTCAGCCCGTCTCCATTTGCAAGGCAGTGGCTGGACATGGGCCACAGGTACTGGGTCCAGAGGGTAGTGAATGTTCTGTAAGACCTGTGTCATTACACCATCTAATTCATTTATGGAAATGGTATATGGCAAATACGAAAGCTCTATGTGCCAAACACCACTTGATACTTTTATTGGCAAGTTTTGAGTAGAAGTAAACATGGAGGTTCCCTTGCCATAAACTCTTTTTAATGTTTTTAAATGTATCTTAGTTGAGTTTTTGTTGCCATATGGTAAGTTGGACATATTTAAAGTGTGCCATTCGATACATTTGGACACATGCTTACGCCCACAGAAACATCACACCCCACATTCATCACCCCAAAAGCTGCTCTGCTGCTTCCGATCCTCCCTCCTGCACCTCTATCCCCCCAGCCCCCCAGCCATCCATCTGCCTCCTGAAGCTGTGGATTGGCTTGCGTCTCCTGCAAGTTCATCTAAATGCAGTTGGACGGGGTGTGTGCTTTTCGTGTGACTTCTTTCCACAGAATAATTACAGCGTGGTCACCCCAGTGGTGTCCACCCCTTTTGATTGCTGAGTACGACTGCACTGCGTGGACAGAGCAGTTCGCTTACTCCTTCACCCTGTGGTGGAGCGAGCCCTTCGTTTTAGCAGTGCAGTTGCTTGTAGAATTCAAAACACATACTGAAATGCCTTTGCCATCCGATGCTTCGCTTTCAAAGACAGAAAGAAAGGTAGCTGGATTCTCCCTCTCAGCCAGGCTGGAGAAGGAGTCAGGTGCATCCTCCTGGTGCCTTGGGGAAGCCCCCTCTGAGGGCACCAAATCTGCAGTCCTTGGGTCTGAATTCTGCTGTATTTCACCATGACCTCAAACTGTTTTCATTGTTTAGGTGCAAAGGGTGAAGTGGGTTTCCCTGGATTAGCTGGGAGTCCAGGAATTCCTGGATCCAAAGGCGAGCAAGGATTCATGGGTCCTCCGGGGCCCCAAGGACAGCCTGGCTTACCTGGTGCTCCTGGTCACCCCGTGGAGGGACCTAAAGGAGACCGAGGACCTCAGGGACAACCTGGTCTGCCAGGTAAGGGCGTTTCACCAGGTGTCAGAGCTGGGGCCTGGGACAGAATGCACAAAAAGGAAGTTGGAATAAATAATTGTATTCCGAATTGAGGGTTTATTTAGAAGTTTGCAGCATTTAGCACAGCTTGAAACTGCATTTTGGCCTCCATATTTAGTCAGTCTTTCTGATATCCTTTCTGTCAAGGAATTTAAGTAATAAAGAGACACAAGAAAATAAGTTAAGGAGAAAACTCGACATAGATGCCATCTGAGTTTTTTTTTAATCAACGTGATGTTCTAGCATCTTCCATGTTGACCTAGTCTACTGTGGTCCACAGTCACTGACTGTAGGCACACTGGATGCTGAGACTGTTGTCATCTTTCCCTCTAGGACCTGCCTTGATGTCTTAGGGACCCGTGTTGCTGAGTAGAGTGGGGGTGCAGATAGAGACAGCTGACGGCCGTAATGCTGGCACTATAGCCCAGTGCATATGTACTTAACAGCAGCCCCACCTTAACCAAATGTCTTTCGTCCTTCCCATCAGGGCTTCCGGGACCCATGGGGCCTCCAGGGCTCCCTGGACTTGATGGACTAAAAGGTGACAGAGGAAATCCAGGCTGGCCAGGAGCACCTGGCGTTCCAGGGCCCAAGGGAGATCCTGGATTCCAGGGCATGCCGGTGAGTGATGGGTTTGTAGGGATTTTTTTAAAGGAGCCTTTTTGGTCACATGATTATTCTATGTGTATATGCATACACATGTGTGGCACTCCAAAGCCACTAAATAAGCATCTTCTCTTTCCAGAATCATCTTTATTGGCATCAGAGCAGGAAATTATTATGACATTTTTCGCAATTTGTCTTATAGAAACCTTTAAAAGGAAAAGGTTTACTGCTGCAAATTACAGACATGTTTACTCTCTGTTTACAAATTTGATGTAATAGCAATTGTTTTGTAAAGAACAATTCTGCATAGCCGGCCAGCCATCTCTGAGACTGGTGGCTGGGTGGTGCAGGTCAGCAACTGATCTTGCCAGGGGTGACCTAAGCTGGCCTCAGGGAGCACAGCTCAGGGAGTCATAGTGACCATATCACGTGTGTGTGTGTGTCTGTGTGTGTGTGTGTGTGTACCTTGTGGTGTTATTTAACTGTGGCGTCCTGCACAGCCTGAATCCATAGCCCCTCTTTGGTAAAGTGGTGATCTCTGATTTGATTCTCAGCTCAACCACCGCCAGGGTGGCTAAGGTGTGTTTTCTGTGGGCTTCATTGAGCAATCCGCAGCTGACGTTCTCTTTGCATGTCTAGGGCATCGGTGGCTCTCCAGGCATCACAGGCTCTAAAGGTGATATGGGTCTACCGGGAGTTCCAGGATTCCAAGGTAAGACAGGAACGATGAGTTGTGCAGCCATACTGTAAAGGGGTGACCACAGGTGCTCCGGTATTGAGACACTAGCATAACAACAGCAAGAGATACCAGTGTCTTCAAATTAAAAATGCCCTTTGTGTGTGGCAACCTAATTTGTGAATCTGTGAATGGCTGGATAAAGGCATTTTCTTGGTAAAAAATCGGGATTATGTCCACCTTAGTCATTTGCATCTTAATAAGGGGTCATGCACTTGGGCCGTTTGTTCGTGTATTTATGGATTAAACGAGCATTTATTGTGTGTGTACTGCTTCCAAGCTCTGTGATTTTTACTACAGAACCACATATACCTGTGGATGTGAGGTGTCTTGTGGTCTATTTGGGGACACACGCAAAACATCTTGACCTCAGACATTGTCGCCTGCCCCTTCCCTGATTGTAACCATCTTATAGTTTGTTGCTTTTGTGGAGAAGTGTGCCTTCTGGGTTCTAGAAAGAAGTTGCATCACAGTTCTTAGCTGACAGAAGTAACGCTCTTTCCTTGAGGCTGAATTGGAAATACGTTCACTGTGTGTGCATGCATGTTTACACATGAACATACGTGTGCATGGGCATCTGGTGTGTCTGTCTGTGCCTTATGCATCACACACCAATGTGCATTTGCGCACGTATGTGTACCCATGTTTATGCGTGGCAGGTGTGTGAAAATGTGTACGTACGTGCTTGCATTCTCTTGGAAGCTCTGTGCAAAGTCAATGTCCTTCTGTCTAGGTCAGAAAGGTCTTCCCGGACTCCAGGGATTGAAAGGAGACCAGGGAGATCAAGGCATACCTGGGCCTAAAGGTAGGAGAATTTGTGAACATGTGGGCACTTACTGATGATTTGGGGAGCTACAGATGCCTTCGAACACATGGAATCAGGGAGGTTGGTTTGTCACAGGTGAAATCAATCAGTAGAAAACGGCTGACTAGAAATTCTTGGTAGTGTGTTAGGATTCCTGTAGTTGTCACTTTTAGGAGCAACTTCTCTTCAAAGTCAAATTTGAAGTATCCCTAGGATACTCCAAGGGAAAAGAAGCTCCAGATCTAGCTTGTCACACAAGTTCTAAAGTCACTGAAATCTGCCACTACAGACTGCATGTACTCTGGCTGGACAGTGACGAAGTCTGTAGGTGATGCCACCACCACTGGAGCAGCAGGGTGAAGTGGCTCCAAAAGCCAAAATAACCCAGGAAGGAGGTCATTTTAGTACCCATCCTATTTACTCTCTGCTGAGCAGACTGTATTTCTAGGGCTCTGTTCAGTTTTTAAAACCATGTTTTAGGGGAGAGATTGATAACCAAATGCACTGAGAAGTGAATGTTAGGAAAGAGGTAGGAAAGTTTGAGGGGAAGGAGAAAGAATTGGGGACATCTGCTGAAGAAGTGTACGCCACGCTCTGTACTTCTGTTCCCGTAATGCCATGAGGCATCGTGCAGGAGAATTAAGTTCATTCACCATTTACAAGTTATGAGTGGCTGTAACGCTCAGCATGGCAAGTCTCAGATAAGTGTGAGAAAAGGGTTCTAAAAGCACGGCTGGAGCTTCCAAGTCAGAAGCGTCGCTGGAGAGGTGCTCACTGCACCTCACAGGCATGCTCCTGCAGGGCAGGGTGTGGCTGCCAGGTTCCTGCCTGGAGTGGAGAGTTCACACTGTTGGTCACAGTGTCTTTTCCAGTCCAGGAGAGCAGGATTTTAGGTTAAATGAGAAAGATGGCCCTAGTGGAGAGCGCCTGCCTAGGAAGTGCAAAGTCCTGAGATCAATCCCCAGCATTGCAAAAACCAAAAAGAGTGCATGTGTGTTTTGCAAGGATCTGTGATCCATGCCTTGTGTCTTTGACAATGACTTGACTTTTGAGAGACGTAGACATTTGGATTATTTCTCACTGGGCTCTCCGTGGAAGCTGCATCTGTCACATCTTGTTGGTATTGTCAACAATTGCTGATTGACCATGTCTGATTCCCACAGGTCTCCCAGGTCCCCCCGGCCCTCCAGGTCCTTACGATATCATCAAAGGCGAGCCAGGGCTCCCAGGTCCTGAGGGACCCCCAGGTCTGAAAGGGCTCCAGGGACCTCCAGGTCCCAAAGGGCAGCAAGGTGAGGATCCTTGGGTTGTGCTGGGGTGATGGCAGAGATGTTAGCAGGGGCAATGATCAGGGTGGTGGTTGTGGGTGTTAGGGGCAGTGGGTGGGATTTCCAGTCACCCCCATGTCTATGATTGGAGCGCAAACACATTTGAATATGACTAGCTATTGAACATATATCAGAACGAAAGGAAGTTTTGAAAAGACCAAAAACAGAACAAAATATAAGAAAGATGGAGGAACACACATCTCTAACACTTTCAGTTAAAAATGTGCAGGGCCACATGCACCAGATCCTCTTCCTGTGCAGCTGGAGGGCAGAAGTGGGGTGGGGGAGACACATCTGAGCTGCCTGGGAGCATGGCACACAAGTCAAAACTCTCTTCTTGTTATTCCCAGATACCCTCCCCTGGGCCTTTTTTTGTATTGAGCTAAACCGATCCTGTGTCAGAGGCTGTTCATAGGGACGGGAAGAAAGTAAGAAAGATGATAGGCAGCATCCAGGAGGAGTCAGGTTCCAGCTGCCACGAGTAACTATAGAGGAAGTGAAAGCTATCCCTGCCAGTGTGTGTGCTGGCTAGAACTGAGACACCGATCATGGCAAGGAGCAGAGGCATGACAGCTCTCTGCCTCCCCCACTTAGTCTTTTTTCACACCTGTGTGCCAAACAGCACAGCAGGAACCCCAGGATAGCTAGGGTCACCCCGGAAGACTAAAAAAGACATTTAAGAAGGGAAGAAAGAGGGACAGACAGCTCACTGTCAACCAGGACTGAATCACAAATTCTCTCTCCTTTGCCGCAGGTGTGACAGGCTCCGAGGGCTTACCCGGACCTGCAGGTGCTCCTGGGTTTGATGGTGCCCCTGGCCAGAAAGGAGAGACAGGACCTTTTGGGCCTCCTGGTGAGTTATTGTGGTCTCCCAACCTGACTACCTTCTACCTATACCTTTGGGTTAGAAGCAGTGGGCCCAGGCATGGGGAAGCCTCAAAATGAAGTGAAAAATATTACTGGAAGCTTCCAAGGAAGTAAGCCTGTGTCTCAGAAGAAATAGGCTCAAGGATGAGCTGAGAATTCTCATTCTTTTTGTGAAGAAGAGACAAATGGTCAAGATTTACATTTTCTAGAAGCAAAAAGGTGGCCAAGAATGGTGTCCCCATGTGATTTTCTAAGAGAGAATTTTCATAGCTGCAGCTATGAAAATTCTATTTTAGCCATGGCCAAAGGAAAGAAAGTAGAATCAAAAAGTAATACAGTCAGTATTTGGCAAAGGCCACTGTCTGGCTCCTGAGGGAGCAGGGGCCCAGCTGAGCATCCCAAAGTGACCATGCCAAGGCTGAGGGCATCAAGTGACCAAGGAAAGAGCTCCATCTGCATGTGGCAGAGCTGCCCCTGGGGGTGGAAGGACCCAGTGCTCGTGAACTTCCCTGTAGTTCTCTTTCCATACACTGCCTCTTTCAGGCTAAGATGAAGTTGTGTTTGTAGTAAATTTACTGCGGGAGCCCCAGATTGTCTGAATGGTATGCACAGAATCACATCGCTGGTTCTTTTTCATTTATGCACATGTCCACTTTCCCGCCTTTGTTTTGTTCCTTGAACTAAATGTTTAGCGTGTGCCTGGTGCCATTCTGAAGAAGTGTGCAAAAAAAGAGAACAGGTCGGGTTGGACTTAGCTCTATATTTTCCCAAATATTTATTTTGTAATGTAAAAAGGTAAAAGACACTTTGTGGAAGTACAAACTTAGCAGCTCTCTTAGACAATGGTTTTGAAGACTTTCAGGGGAACTTGGTTTAACTAGGAACACTGATTTGTCTTCTGTCCTACAGGTCCAAGAGGATTTCCTGGTCCGCCAGGCCCTGATGGGCTGCCAGGATCCATGGGGCCCCCAGGCACTCCATCAGTTGACCACGGCTTCCTCGTGACTAGGCATAGTCAGACCATAGATGACCCGTCATGTCCTCCTGGAACCAAAATTCTTTATCATGGGTACTCTCTTCTCTACGTGCAAGGCAACGAGCGGGCTCACGGCCAGGACTTGGGTAAGAGGTCTGAGGTGCTTTCACTCAGTGGTGGATGCACTGCCCAGCGTGGCACCTGCCGTCCTCAACTCTGCGGCCACTGGTGTGGTGTGCCAGGGGGGCAGTGGCTCTGTTTCCCTCCGTCCTCACAAATAAATGACCAGTTCAACAGCTGCCATACCACCCGGAGGAAGGCAGGAAATGGAAGGACTGAGAAAAGTGAAAAGATCAGACATTTTCCTTGAAAATATTTAAATTAATAAAACTTTGGATCCTGTCTTCCACTTATCAAGTGGAGCCAAGGTCCCTGGAATGCACATTTAAGTTTGCACTAATAGTCTTAAAATAGGGTAGCCTCTTTTAGAAACGCAACTTTGCTATCTCCACCGAATTTTCGACATCTGTGCCCTGTCCCTGTTAGTCTGGGTCAGCAGAAAGCTACACATTATCCTCCTCTGCTCCAAACTGTTATGTGCAGTTCTGTGATGAGGTCACTGGCTGAGGTTAGAACACGCAAACAGCTACGCAGGGTTACTCTGCGTCTTCCGAAAAGCCACTGTAACCAAGGGGATTCCTTCTGGAATTCAGTTCTAGGAAAGGCTTCTCCCTACTGGTAAAATGGACGTGTTTCCTCTTATCCAAAACGCCCTGCGTGATACTCCCGTGGTTCTTCTTTGCCTGGTCACTTTACGTTTAATTGCTAAGAATTCCATTTGAATGTGGAGCCCAAGAAGTCGGCGTGGCCGGCAGCGCCCCCTTGTGTTGTGGTGGGTTATGGGTGACTGTCCCTCCGTGTGCAGGCACGGCCGGCAGCTGCCTGCGCAAATTCAGCACAATGCCTTTCCTGTTCTGCAACATCAACAACGTGTGCAACTTCGCCTCCCGCAACGACTACTCCTACTGGCTGTCCACCCCCGAGCCCATGCCGATGAGCATGGCGCCCATCACTGGGGACAGCATCCGGCCGTTCATCAGCAGGTGAGACCACGGCAAAAAAGAAAGCGGAAGAAAAGCCTCCTGGGGCCTGGGCAAATGTGATTTCTGTGCCTTCTTTTGTCTCCAAAGCATTGCCGACAAGTCAGTCCATTGCCAGTTTATCCATTGTGATTTCTGAGTCTGGCACTAGGAAAATTAGCCAGAAAGACTAATTGACGCCACATTTTCTGTCTTAAAAAAACTCGTAGTGCAAAACCATGGTGAGAGTAAAACCGAATTTGCATTTTACGTTCTGGGGCCCATAGCTGGGTTCTCCTGCAAGTTTTAGGAGAGCGCCTCTCAATCTTTTGGTTCTTTTTAAAAAATGACCTTCCTAAAAAGCCTTTGGAGACTTTTTTTTTATTTTTTGGTTAATCATTCCTGGTCCTATGAAGTTTTTAAAAATTAACTATTTTAATTATTGTGAAATGCTACAATTTAGCATAAAACGTATCCTCTTAGATGTTTCTAAGTGCACAGATTGGTGACTTTCAGCATTTTTAGACAGTGGTGCGTCTGTCACCACCATCATGTTTGTCCTGCAAAACTGGGGCTATGCTCACTCAGCAGCATCCCCTCCCTTTGTCTGAGGCGCCCTGTGTCCTGAGGGAAAAGGAGAGGGCACTGAGCGTCAGCTGCCCCAGGCTGGCTGCAGTGGGACCCTGGCCATCAACCCTCCCATCCTGTCACTTCCTGGGCCCTCCTGTTTGTAGGGCTGCAGTTTGGTGGCAGGTAGGCCCTAATAGATTGGTTTTACTAAAAGGGCTGTACCCAGGAACCAACTGCTGTGCGGGAGAATCGCAGGCATTCTGTTGCCTTGTGTTGAAAGGGCTCCTGAGAGCTTTCTTTGATTTTTTTTTTTTTCTTTGAGCTCTCAGAAACCCTGTCTTACAGGTCTTAAGCTGGAAAATATTTTGTTGCACTTCCAATGCTCTCCTTGTCAGAATGCACACAGCGTTTCACACATGCACTGAGTATCCACCAACTGTCCATCTGCACCCTTTTCCTGCCCAGACCACTGATGTGCTAGAAGGAGAACTAACACCTTTGTGCTTTTTTCTTTTAGCTTCCCTTGGACAACAGGTAGAAAATGATCATTCACTCACTTATGTTTCTCATTTACTTCCGTGATGATATTGACATTGGCCTTGATTTTGTTGAAAACATGGGGTCCTGTCATTTGCTGATGATGTTCCAAAAACAGGTCCAGAGAAAGTGTCTTAGACACACTTTTCTCTGCGGACACAGGACACCCCTGGTTCTGTGAGCACAAACAAGATTCCAAGTTGTTTATGTGTCCCAGGACTCTACACTGCAGGGTTTCCGTGTCCCTGTTATGGGACCCGTAGAAAAGCCACCTGAAGGGACCACCCAGCTCACTTCTGTGATTCCTCAGCTGCGTGTGTCTCTAATTCCCTTCTGCAGTGACACGGCCCCTTTCTCACTGTGACTGAGCATGTAGGTTTCCATGGTTACTTTAATTTAGGCATTTCCTACAGTATCTCAGGACTTACAGGTTCCTTCTGAGGTCTTCCCCTTGGGAAGGTCCAAAAGCTTTATTTTAGAAAATAAAATATTTTATTTTAGAAACACCAACATGGAGTCCTTTGTTCTGAGTGCAGCGCTTCCTTACTCCTGGTGGCAGGGCAGTGTTTAATTGTGAATGTTTACTCTGTTAAGTGGAAGGACCATGGGCCTGAAGTGAGGAGAACCAAGTCTGGCATGGCTTTGACACTAACCATGGCCGTAGTTTCTTCAGATAGCATGGGGAATGAGACCACCTGAATTTTAATGGATTGATGTTCTGTCCTACCTCCTCCTCCATGTTGAGCACCTGCTCTGTCCCTTCAAGGTGCACCATGTGCGAGGTGTGTGCCATGCTGATGGTGGTGCTCCATGGCCACCCTTTCAAAGGGCAGGACCACTCTCTCCCTGGTCACTTGAAGCCCCCCTAGCACCAAGGCAGCCTGGGAAATAGAACACTTTCCTGAGGCAATTCTGCTTCTTGTGTCTGGGAGGCAGATGGCGGCAGACAAACAAGGCCAACTCAGCAACTAGTATTTAACAACCTTTTAAGTCATCTGCATTTGTGTGAATAAAGTAGGCAATCTCTCTCTCTCTCTCTCTCTCTCTCTCTCTCCCTCTCCACACACACACACACACACACACACACAGAGAGAACATGGAGTGACTATGACTAATTCAGCTGCCTATCCACTTCCCACCCGTTTTGCAAACGTTCCAGAGAACGAGGTGTAATTATTGACACCATTTATACTCATTTAGCAGCCTGGTCAATGCTCTGCTCACGTTGTGACTTGAATGTAATTATTTTGCTGCTGGTGTTAATTTTTTTTTTTTTTTTTTTTTTTTGGTCACAGCATTTCCCACCATTCAGGGCTCCCTTGCTCAAGGAGGTCTTAGAACACTGTGTGGCTTTAATTTAGTCTGGAGTGCAGTCCAGCAGGAAGGCTCAGAGCCACTGTGCAGTGTCATCCCTGGAGTCAAGGAGTCAAACTAGGAGACTGAGTTCAAATAGTAGACAAGGTGTGGATGCACGCTGCGTGGTCCATCCTGCATCCGCCTCTGTGCTGAGGACCTGTTCTGTCCCTTCCAGGTGTGCCGTGTGCGAGGCGCCTGCCATGGTGATGGCAGTGCACAGTCAGACCATTCAGATTCCGCAGTGCCCCAATGGGTGGTCCTCGCTGTGGATTGGCTACTCCTTCGTGATGGTGAGTGTTTGAGAAACTGTATTTCCACAGAGACTCCTCCACTCACACCCACCCCATTAGCTCCTCTGTGCTTCCCAAACTCTCTGGATCATGCTGCTTAGGTATCTCCTCTTCACCTGGCCTTGGAGCCTGGACTGAACTTGGAGACAATGGGATCTCCAGCGCTAGCTATTGTCCTTCTTGCATTGGGAGACCAGCCCCTGCAGCCTGACCAGCCCCTCCAGTCAAGGCCTTTTGGGGAAAAAGAGAACAGCTTGCACAAGACACACGTTTCATTAACACACTCAAACTAGAAAGCAAAGAGCTTGAGGCAGGGAGGGGCAGCTGGCAGTGGCCCCACAAGAAGATTCCCAGGTTGGTATCAAGGTCCATCCTGGGCAGTGAGGACTGTGATCCTGTCACCCAGCTGCCAAGGATGTTAAACAACATCTCCACCCCAGAAAAGCCGATTAAAAGGGGAGCGTATCACCTGTGCGAGCTGCTCATTGATGCTTATTTTACTGTGTTGCCTCACTGGAAAGTACTGATTTTATACAAGTGCTGAGCTGGTAAGATCAGGGTTGCTCTGAATTTGCCATGGTGAGCCATCCTACACTAGGGTCACTATGGTTCTTGGTAGGCTCAGTTCCACCTTCACACCATGTCACACACCAATCCATGAGAACATTAGCCGTGCTGTTTGAGTGACTATTTTCTAATAAAGCTGGCTGTCCTGTCCTGCTTGGCGAGGAGCTGATAGCTGATTTCTGGCACTGTGTGGACTACTGCAAGCCCCAGTGGGGACAGCAGGGCTGGCTGGTCAGCCATCGGGGTGTCGGGTGGGTGTTTGGGCACAGAGTGTGTTCCATGGAGACCCCATAGGGCTGCAGCTTACAGCTTTGTGGAGAACACCCCGATTCTCCTGGTCTTTGGGGAGGGAACCTCTGACATGCCTCACATCTGTTCCACAGCACACCAGCGCTGGTGCCGAAGGTTCTGGCCAAGCCCTTGCGTCCCCTGGGTCCTGCCTGGAAGAGTTTAGAAGTGCTCCATTCATCGAATGCCATGGCCGTGGGACCTGTAATTACTATGCAAATGCTTACAGCTTTTGGCTCGCCACCATAGAGAGGAGCGAGATGTTCAAGTGAGTCGCTACCCTCATTTGGAGGCCCTGCGGTCTTTAGTTTGGTCCTCTGTGACCCATGACACCTCCCAATGCCAAGTCTCACAGGTAGCTGAGATGTGATTGTTAGCAATGCCTCATCCTCGTGTAACAAGGTGACTTTTCAAAGCCTTACTTCTTCCACTTATTGAAGAACCGGGAAAGAAAATCTGTGTAGATAGATGTATGAAAATGTACTTAAAGCAACTGAAATCTTCAAACAGAGCATGTTTAAGACGTCACATATTTAACAATCAATGAGACAGGCAACCACGTTCAGTCATGGCTTTTGTAGAGCTGGACAGGACGTACATAAGCATCTCAACACCTGTATGAAAAAACATTCCTTTCATTACAAACCAGACGAAGTTCATAGGGAAGATCTTCTCCCCCCTTCATAGTCACAAGATTCACCTTTGAAACAACTGCCCTTGGTAGCTGACGTTGTTGAAGTCCCTAACGGATAGGAGCATGTCACAAATTCTCTGTCCTTTATCCTTCCCCAGCTGGTGCAGATGCAGGAGGCTGACGGGCTGGGGCAACTCCTTACACTCGTCTGTAAGCACGTGCTTCTCAGCCCTGCAGATGAGCCCTGTGGGAGATAGTTCTGTGGAACTCTGCTTTGATCCCATCTCTTTCCAGCTTAGATCACCCATGTGTTACATGCTACCGGGTCGCTTGCAACAGGTGTTTGGACACTTGACATCACCCCCACCGAGAGAACATGACTGAGCTCCTGAAATGAGCTCACGTCTATCAGGCCCTACTACTGGAGCTGCCACTGCAGGGTTGATAGGTCATTATGGGATTTTTTGAACCAGCAGCTTGGTATAATAAACTAAAGTGCCTTCTCAAACAAAATTAGGAAAGAGCCCACTAATTTCAATAATTAATTTGGGGGCACAAGAATCTCCGTTGGGATTTGCTAAAGTAAGCAGCCTGAACTTAGGACAGGAGACTCTCACATGTGGCTAATGTACTGCTAGCAGGATTTGATCAGTACCAGATGTAGTTCGATTTCCCCTTTCCAGTATCAAGATAAGATAGGCTGTCTGGGATGGAGACAAGTGGGGGTACTAGCCTCACCTCGGACCATCTGCCTACAAATCCTCCATCATCATCGAAGTATTCTGAGGTGTAGTTAATTATTCTGGATTTGTCATCCTTCACTTTATCCAACAATTGCAGGGAATAATCCCCTCATACCCTGGTGGAATTTCTAGTCTAGTTGAAAAGGCAAAAAGTTAATTGCAGTACAAGGTTCAGCACGGCACAGTGGGAGAAGGTCTAAACCTTGGAGTCACCTCTAAGTGACTTCAGCTGGGCCCTAACTCTCTTGTGCATTGGTTGCCATGGATGGGTACACTGTGCTCTGTGTACCATGGAACCATGCACTGGGCCTCAGCGTGTGCCTGCTCGGTTTGCAGGTGGAAGGTGTTTGGTGGTTGTCATCAGGTTGGGGCTGATCGAGTGCCAGTGCAAATCTGGTCCCTTAGAGATTCTGAGCAGGACAGGAGTGTGCACGTCTGACGCACACGGATACGATGCAAGGGTTTGCTTGTGCTGTGTTTCAGGAAGCCCACACCGTCCACCTTGAAGGCAGGGGAGCTGCGCACCCACGTCAGCCGCTGTCAAGTCTGCATGAGAAGAACGTAACGAAGCCCGACGCCCAGCTACCGTCACAACATGGTGCTACTCCTCCTTCTTTTTATTTTTAACAGCAATGAACCCTAGAAATATATCCTGTGTACCTCACTGTCCAATATGAAAACCATAAAGTGCCTTATAGGAATTTGCGTAACTAACACACCCTGCTTCATTGGCCTCTACTTGCTGAAGGAGAAAAAAAAGACAACAATAAGCTTTCCATAGTGGCACTTTTGATGAAATAAAATCTAAATACGTTCTATAATCCAGTGCACTAATGTGTGAAGCGAGAACTCCATCAGAAAACCAAAGGTGCTAGCGGTGCGTGGTGTCTTCCACTCAGCCTGACTCCCATATCATCCTTTGTATCGTAACCCACAAGTTCTTCACCCCAGATATGAATGTCTGTTTATTCACTGTCTAGTGTTTCCAAATCCAGGTCCCTCAGTCTGTGCAAATGAGAGTGATGTAAAAATTCCTCCAAAAGGAATTCCGGACTCAGTAGCCCTGTCTCCAGCCCCAAGCATAGGTTTGCATCGCTCTGCTCTGCGCGGTACACACAGTCGCTCTTGCAGAACGCCCGGATTTCCTGTGGAATAAAGATGGTCCAAAAACAGTCAGAAATTAAATATATATATATTTTAGTAATTTATATAGATGTCCGCAATTAGGCAGGTCAAGTTCTAGTGTAAGTTCCACTGTTAAACTAAAGCTTACGTAGAAGTATTTCTCTTTCAAAGACTGTGGTGTCTTTTAACATAGTTTTAAACACTAGAAACAGCAGCTTTCCTGTTCACTTCCAAAGAAAAGCGATGCGTTGCCAAAGCCGAACCCAGGTTCACAACTATGGTGTCTACAACAGTGAAACGTGTACTTGGAGCTTACTGTTTTTATTCTGTATTAAATATTTTCAGGGTTTTAAACACTAACCACAAACTGAATGACTTGACTTCAAAACAACATTTTAAAGGCCTTCATTAGTTTTCCTCATTCTTCATTGGAGCTGCTTGGAAAAACAGCTCTATTGAGTCAAAATATCAGTATTTTTACCCATAAACACATGCTGCCACCTCCTAGGCTTCTTGTGAGCTGTGTCACAGGCTCCAGCAGGGAACAGATGGATCGCAGGAGGGCAGATTCGGACCACTATGCTTGAAACGACCTTCCGCTAAAAGTCTCCAAAACGTTTTTAAGACTACTAAGGCCTTTTATGTAATTTCTTTAAATGTGTATTTCGTAAGAATTCAAATTTGTAATAAAACTATTTGTATAAAAATTAAGCTTTTATGAATTTGTTGCTAGTATTGCCACAAAAGCATTCGAAGTTACTGCCACGCTGCCAATAAATTTGAAATCCTTGCCTAACTTAGATCATTTTTATTTTGTACTTCCTCCCAACGAGAGGTGATTACTACAAAGGCTTCCTCCTTCAAGGCCCCCATCAGTCCCTCCCTTGCTCCTTCCATCTGTTTGTCCAGTCAGCCATCATCTGTCTGTCCCTGCACACACACACCATTGCTTGTCCGCTGAGGGCTTAGCACCTTCCAGGAACTGGCTAGACACAAGACAAACACATGACTAGCTCACATATCCTGTCATCACAAGGGAACCCATGAAGCCTTAGGACAGGGAGTCCAGTTCTGCACTGGGGGGCTCTGGAGCCAAGGGCTAGATTTTCCGACACTACAAGTAGTGAAGGAGAGAGATGCACACTTTTCCTGGTGATGTAAGCTTCAGGTTTCACTGGATCAAGATACAGTCCACAGGGGACGTGTGGGTTACTGAGCACTGGCAAAGAAGCTCGAGTTATCAAAATGTGCTTTGTAATTCGTCCAGCAGAGCAGTAGCAAGGCTGAAGTGGAGTTACACTTGAGCCCGTCAAAGCGTGAGGATGGAACAGGATGGAGTGAGCCTGTAGTGCGGGATGGGGATGGCAGTCATGTCTGCTCATTTCTAACAGAACCGAGGTTATTTCGCTTTCCTTACTGTGTAGGAGAAGAGCGAGGGACAGTCCAGTCATCAGTAGAGCCTTTTGTTTCTTTGCGTAAAGCTGATTTGTCACAATTATTTATCTATAATTGGTATACCTAGACAAGAACAAGGAAAAGCATAATGAAAACTTGGATCCCAACATTGAGCTCCTGTGCACTTGTGTCTGTTATCTAAAAGCCATTCGCGTGTTTTTAAATTAACTGATAACAACATTGACTTGTTTTGATGTAGACTTCTATGAATTACAGCATATGTAATTCGTGTGGCCATAATCAGCTCAGCACATAGGACCAAAAATCCCCAAGCTCTTAATGTGTCATGACACTCTTGGACATCCCCAACCTGGCAACTGACTCCTGGCCTTTTCTTGTGACTCTCCAGTTGTCTCAGGACCCTTTTATTAAGTGTAGGCCTCCAACTATGTTCTTGCCTAACCTGCATGCAGGGATTATAGGCCTGTGCTATCGCAGCTGGCTGTTCAATTTTTAATTATGCGTGATGATTGAAATAAGGGTTGCTACTTTCCATTTTGTGACAGTGAAAGAGACTACCCCTTCTCCATTGAGTTGACTTTGGGTCTTTGTAAAACTTAATTGTCCATACTTTGTGTAGGTTTTTTTTAGACTCTTAGTAATGTGTATGTGACTGTCTTTACCAATACAAGGCCACCTTGATTAATTTATCTTTAAAGTATATCAGAAAAGCAGTTTGTGTGTTTTCTCCTGCTTTTTCAAAACTGGCTTAACTATTCTAATTTCTTTGGATTATAAATTTGAGATTCAGTTTGCCAATACCTGTGAAACAAATCCTGGGGACTTTGATTGGCGTTGCTTTAAGTCATCCTGAGGTCTGAGGGGAGTTGTTATCTTTACTGAATCTTCTGTAAATGTGTTGTGCCTTTTATCCAGTGATACCTTTGGGCTTTAATCATTGTATGGTTTTTAGACACAGATTCTGGATCTCTTTCCTTAGATTTATAGTGAATCATTTTTGAGATGGTATTATCTTTTAAATTTGACTCCCATTTTTCCGTGCCCCGTCTATAGGAAAGTGATGGATTTTCTTCGTATGCTGACCCTGTATTCTATGAGTTTGCTAAGTTAACTCTATAGCTTCCCGAGGATGGTTCTGTACTCTCATTAAGATTTTTCTACATAGCCAGTCATGTTGTCTATAAATAGCGACAGTTTTATTTCTTCCTTTCCATAGCCCACTCACCCCACCTATATTTTTCTTGCCTCTTTGTGTTGGCTAGCACTTCCAACACAATGTTGTAAGGACTAGTAGGTGTGACTATCCCTTCCTTGTTCTGGATCTTAAGGAAAAAGCATTAAGTATGATATTAGTTGTAGCGATTTTTTTAAATGAATGCATTTTTTGCTGTGAATATTGACCTTGAGTGGAGGTCAACAGGATGTTGTCAAATGTCTTTTCTGCTTCAACGCATACTTTATGCGTTTTCCTCTTTAGACTGTTAATATGGCAGATAACAGTGATTGGCAGCCAAAGATTGGACCAGTTCTGTGTTTCCAGGATAAAGTCCATTGGTCACAGTAAATTTTTCTTCTAAATGGAAGATTCTATTTGCTAATATATTTTTTTAGGATTTTGTGCCCATGTTAGTGAGGGAAACTTTATTTTTCTTTTCTTGTATCATCTTGGTCTTGTTTTATATCAAATAATGTCACTTACCAAAAATGAGTTACATATGTTTCTGCTCCTATTTTCTGGAAGAGACCAAGCAGAGCTGCTGCCATTTCTTCTTTAAATGTTCAGTAGAATTTGCCAAGGAGATCATCTGGGCCTGTAAATTTCTTTTTTTGGAAGGTTTTTGATTGTAGATTCAGTGTTTCGGTAGTCACAGGATCATTCAGGCTCTCAATTTGATCCTGGGTGAGTTTGACAGCAGTCCATACTTGATTGGCAGATTCAGGTTGTGAGGGTGTTCCTGGAATCCCCATGGTAGCTTTTTGCCTGGGAAGCCTTTCTTTCATTCCCAATAATGACAGTTTGCCTCTCCATCCCTTTCCTTGTCCAACTCACGAGAAGTTTCACAGTATGACCAGTATTTTCACAGAACCAGCTTTTGGGTTCATGGATTTTTTTCTACTGTGTTTCTGTTTTCAGTTTCACTAATTTGCCAGGAGTGGTGGTACACTCACAATCCAGTACTTAGGAGATTGGGGCAGGAGGATCCCAAGTTCAAAGCCAGCCTGGGCTACCCAGTGAGACTGTCTCAAAACACCAAAAAAGTCTTTTTTTGTTGATTTCTTCTTCTTTTTTTTTTTTTTGTCTTTATCATTTCCCTCATGTTCTTACTTTGGGTTAATTTTGTTCTTTCTTTTGCTAGCTTCTCAAAGGTGAACCTCAGATAGCTGAGACCTTCTTTTTTTTAACAGAAGCATTGGGTGTTACATATTCTCCTCTATACATTGATTAATTTCATCTCATCAGTTTTGTTATTTTGTATTTCCATTTTAATTCAGTTCAAAGTCATTTTTAATTTCCTTGAGATTTCTTTGGGTTTATTTGGACATGTATTGCTTAATCTAAGAGTTTCTAGATTTTCTTGTTTCAGTTCTGTTTCTGAGAGCTGGTTTAATTTTATTATAGTGATGGAACACATAATGATGATCTTACATTTGTTAAGGTTTCTTTTTTAACGTCATCTTGATGCTTTTTATTTTTTTACACATTGTATATTTTTTCTTTTTTATTAGCATACATTAGCTGTACAGGGAGTTTTCTGGTGACATTTGCATCTGTGCTTACAATGTATCTCAATTAGGCTCAGGTTTCTTTTTTAACTTTGGGCACGATCTTTGTTGGTGAAGAATGGAAGAATATGGATTCTGTTCGGGTTGGCGAGACTATCTCTGAAAGTTAGTCAATTTTCAATTCTGTTGTATCCTTCTTTATTTCTGTCTACTAATTCTCCCATTTACTGAGGTGGGATTTTTAAATTTCTTCTTTCAGATGGAACGGTTCTTGCCTTGTCTGTTTTTAAGCTTTGTCAGTAGGGGTGCACATAGTTTCTTATGTCTTCTTGGTGAGCAGACTCTTGTCATTACGCCATGAGCCTCTTTGTGGCTGTTCAGGCTATTTTTTTTCTCTGAAATCTACTTTGCCTGATTTTAATATAGCCACTCTTTCTTGTGATTGATGTCTGTGTGCTATGTCTTTTCCATTTTTTCTCTTTTATCCTACCCACATCATTATATTTGAAGAGAGATTCTTGCAGACAACATATGTTGTATCATGTTTTTAAAGTACACTCTGGCAATCTTTGTCCTTTAATCAGTGTGTTTATATCCTGTTTATGTTTGCTTTATTGGCATATTTAGGTTTACGTCTGACTTTTATTTAGTTTGTGTTTGCTACCGCTGATTCTTATTTTTCCTTTCTAGCTCTTTTTTGTTATATTACATTTTAAGCCATTTTAACTTGTATTTTTTAATCTATTGACATTTTAAAACAAGAGCAGAATACCCTATTATTTCACCCACACAGCTCCCATGTCTTTTTCCTTCCTCTGTTCCTGGTGTTCCAAGTTCCCTTGTCCTATAACTTCCTTTATGTCTGAGGAACTTCCGTTAGCAATTCCTTTAAGATCGGGCTGTTGGTAATACATTCTTTTAGCTTTCCAGCAACTGAAAATGTCTTAGTTCACCTTTCCTGAAGGATGTAAACGTCTGACAGTTTGGTTCTTTCAGCATTTCCTAATTGTCATTCACGTTCCTTCCTTCTGGCCTCCATAGTCTCTGATAATAAACTCAAGACATTCAGGTCTTTGTTCCCCTACAAGGAATGTGCTATTCTGTGGCTAATTTAAAGATTTCTTACTGTCTTCGGTTTTCAGACAATTAATTACGACATGTCTGGGTATGAATCGGGCTTTTTGAACTTTTTGAATCTGCAGGTTTCTGTCTTTCTCCTATGGAAAATATTGATATTTGGGACTTTGGCCAGCCAGTGATTGGGTTAGGCTCCAGGCTGCAGGCTCCACTTTACTTTGTGAGGTCTGTGGTTCCAATGTCTGGTCACTTTCTTGTAGTGCTATTCAGACAGATCTGTCATGTGGCGAAGGATGCTTTTAAAGAGAGGTGTATTTAACTCACTTTCAGAGGCGATGAGTGCAAGATCAGCTGCCTCATTTGCCAGACTCTGGTGAGTGCCTCTGCTTAATTATCATGACAGATAGCCCCACAGCCAGAGTGTGTGGGACAGCAAGAGGTCACAGAGTGAGACAGGAAGCTAGAGAG